CATCGGCTCGAAAAAAGCGGGTTCTCGTACTGATGATGATGATGACGAGGAGGAGGAGATCGTGCAGATACGGATGTCGGAATCCGACGTCGTCTTGGTGTCGGAATACTTGACGACAAGTACCAACAACAACGACGACGTCGTCGGGGCCACAGCCAAGGCTGCAGACCTGTTGCAAGCGGCGTTGGAGTCCCTGTGTCGACACCAGCTTACAATAAGTCCTCTCGCTGCTGCTGCTGCTGCTACTACTGATGATACTCATCATATTCCAGTAGCAGCACTCTGGCTGAATGCCGTGAGTCCATCATCATCATCATCGTCATGATGTTCAAACAGTACTGATGTGTATCTGAATTCGAATGCTTCTTATATATTATACAGCAGTACGTCTGCATGTATGTACAGTACAAAGATTAATGTTGAGTATATTTGCTGTATATATATACTGTATATATCTAAATCTCATCCAGGTAATACAGCTGTACAGGCAAGATGAACAATGTCTGTACTGTATTATAGATCAGGGTCACGTCATTACAGAAAATAATACTGTAGCTTCGGCTATATATAATAGGTGCTGAAATGCATTAAAAAAAATAAAAACAATCAAGCCTGTATATATAAACAAGTGTATCATCACCTGCATGCTGATGGTTAATTCCCTATACAATATATATATATATATATATACACAGTTTAAAGAAATGGGATGGACGCGAGGAAAGAATTGCAAAATCCCTCATTATTATTATTCTTCTTTTTTTCTGCTGATATATAATCCTCGCCTTTTCACGTGATTAATGTGCCCTTCTTTCCAGCCTGTTTCTTATGTATAGTAGTGGATCTATAAATACGTACAAATTTGTGCAAAACGAACAAGCACCCTTTTTTTCTGTCTGTATAATACCCTGAAAGAATCAGCAGCAGTGGCATTTATAAAGTTTATTCACATGTCTGTCTTTTCTTCTCATAAACCATCATTGCTTGGCATTTATTTCCACTTTATTTAAAGGGATGACAGCAAACATATTTGCTGGGGTATATATATATGCATGCTTGTGCGTATCAAGCGAGTTTCAAATGTACAAAATACATAATCAGCAATAATATACGCCCGCGCGACAGCACCAGAGCACAGCATGCATGCAAACTTTTCTTATTTGTTGCAATAAAAAGAAAAAGTCAAAATAAAAAATACAGGAACAATAAATAGAAGGCAGCGAGCACGGATGTTACGCATGAATGCTGCAGGTGTACCACGATAACACTTGTATATATAATGTAAACGCGCACACGTGTCGTTCATGCGCGGTATACGGTTTTTCGCTAAATTTTGAATCTTGATCCGGTTTCTCGGAGACACACTCTTTCTTGCTATACAATTCCAAATGGGTTAAATACGGCAGATAGATGAAAGAAAGATGAGTATTTCAAGAGGCGTATATATGTACTTACTGCATAAATACGAATCATATACGCTGAAATTGCATTTATAGTTGACTGCGTGCTATATAATATAGTCCTCCTGATGCAATAAGTTTTCAATTTATCATTGTGAGGAATTGAAAACAAACAAAAAAAGTTGAGTATTCAGACGCGTCTCGAATAATTTAATGTTGGAGATTCATCGTGTTGAAATAATTTTACGATACGTTTTATTTTTCTAATTTTGGGGAAGATTGATGTACTGTACAGTATAGTACTGTACGATGGTATATACATACTATGTACTGTATATGTATTACTCGACCAAACAATAAGCTGTCTGTATGCCCTGCTGAACATATATGTATGCTTTTCCTGCTGTGTATTGTTTTGATGTCGATCGATGTCCCTTACTACACATATACCGTAGCATGATGATATTAATTATTATGTGAATGAACACAGCAAGAATAATACTGAGATTACGTTTCGTCCACCCACGTATACTCACTGTATACAGTATATAGTAGTACGACTTGACTATACAGTACTGTATATAACATGCAGTTTTCCGAGCTGATGATGGAAAGGAATAAGAACGGACATCATCATCAGCGGCACTCGTCGTCGTCGTCGTCATTGAAGATGATGATGGCGGCGGGACGAGAAACAAGCCACCGTCATCCGGTGATGGATCCTGCTGTCGATCCCACCACCACCAGCAGCAGCAGCATTTGCGACACCGAGAAGGAAAAGCGACAAGAGTTGCAGGCCATGTTGGACACGTTGAGAGAAAAGCAGCAGCAAGAAGAAGAACAACAACAAGAACGAGAACGAGAACGACGAGTGTTGAAGCAACACCAGCAGCACGATGCAAGGTGGTGGCTGAATTTGCAGAGGGAATACCGCCGACTTTGCGACTACAGCAGCAGCAGCAGCAGAGATGATCTTCGGCATCATCATCATCATCATCGCCAGCACCTGGATGACGACCACTCATCATCATCATCATCATCATCATCATTATTAGTGGGTGCATGATGATGACGACGACGATACTTTTGCGGCGTGCTATATATACATTTGAACAGGGTATCATCATCATACGTACAGTACAAACAAACAAACAAAGTCGCCTATAATCGACAGCATATACTGCAGTAATATATAGTACTGTACTGTATAGCAGTATGAATGATGTACAATATGTGCATGCATTTACAGTATATATCAAACGAGATTCTATATATTCCTCGTGTCTTTCAAAAGCAAGCCCGTCATGTAATTCAGGCACGTACCATCATGCAGGCAGCTGCTATGTACATCAGAGTATTATATGCTTTTTTACATTTGCAATTGCTCACGCGAAATGAGAAAACTTTCAATTTCATGCTGATGCTCATCCTTTTTTATTTCTTCTATTTACAATTATGCGATGGATGAGGGGAGGGTTATTATATAATATTTACATATGCTTCGAGTCCCATCAGTATAATTATGATGATGATGATGATATGAAGTATCGGGTATAATAATAATAATAATAATAATAATAACACCTCCTCCTCCTTATTCTTGTCAAAAGCCACATGTGTACAACACAGCATGAGACAAGTGCATATGTGTCATAATAATGATAATACAGTAATAATTAAATCTTATTGTACGGATATACACGAGGTTGATGCCGGAATTGGTGTCTCGCCATCATCATCATCGTCATCATCCACATCAGCAGCAGCACTCACGTGCTACCTGCTGTATCGTCATCATCCAGCAGCAGCAGCAGCAGCATCAGGCACGGCTGGTTTCACTAGTACTGATGCTGTTGATGGTCATCATCATTCCACCAGCAGCAAAAACAGCAAATCAGGCACGTACCATCATGCAGGCAGCTGCTATGTACATCAGAGTATTATATGCTTTTTTACATTTGCAATTGCTCACGCGAAATGAGAAAACTTTCAATTTCATGCTGATGCTCATCCTTTTTTATCTCTTCTATTTACAATTATGACGATGAGGGGAGGGTTATTATATAATATACATATGCTTCGAGTCCCATCAGCATAATGATGATGATATGAAGTATCGGGTATAATAATAATAATAATAATAATAACACCTCCTCCTCCTTATTCTTGTCAAAAGCCACATGTGTTCAACACAGCATGAGACAAGTGCATATGTGTCATAATAATGATAATACAGTAATAATTAAATCTTGTTGTACGGATATACACAAGGTTGATGCCGGAAATGATGTCTCGCCATCATCATCATCATCATCATCGTCATCAGCAGCAGCAGCAGCACCACTCACGTGCTACCTGCTGTATCGTCATCATCCAGCAGCAGCAGCAGCAGCATCAGGCACGGCTGGTTTCACTAGTACTGATGCTGTTGATGGTCATCATCATTCCACCAGCAGCAAAAACAGCAACAACAACATGTCCCTCCTGCTACCACTAATAGCATTGCCTCCCGTCAAAGTGGAGGTGCTGCGTGGCGAGGAGCCCCGAGTCGTCCTCCTGCACGACTGCATCGGGCGACGAACCATCCGCACCCTCATCCAGGCAGCCAGTCAAGCAGTGAGTGCAGTAGTGCAGCAGCAGTTGTTATTACGAATACTGCATCAAGTACAGCATGCAGTACAGTACTATATATATATATATATATATATATATATGTATACCTGCAGCAGCAGCAGCATGCACGCGCACCTTTTCCTCATCTTCTTCTTTTATCTTTTAATTCCTTTATTCCTTCTTCTATATACTCAAATTTCTGGGGGTGGGGGAGGGTGCGTGATGTCAGCAGCATATTTCAATGGACGAGAAAAAATTGGAAATGTGCTCAATTAATGTTCAATCCATGTCTAAATTGAAATTTATTGGGTATGGGTGGGTGGGTGGTTGTTTGTACAGTAGTTGTTTCTGAAATACTGCTGTATTACACAGTACTAGTATACAGTAGAGTAGAATATTGTGGTTTTATTAAACTCACTGCTAAAAGACGAGAGGTCTCAATCATCGCTTATATTGCTTGAGGGCTTATTATTATCGTCGTATAGTCGTGCTGGTACATATGTACTGTATATAGAGAATAAATATGTAATTAGTGTACAGCAGCAGGTGATGGCCAATTTTATATAATGATCATCATCATATGATGATGATGATGATGATGCTCACTCGATTATTAATAATATACTTGTCTTGCTGCATATCATTCCTTATACTGCTCAATTGACAAACAAACAATATACTGTACTGTAGTGTACAGTAGTATATGAATGCGAACGCATATATGTATATATACGTCATGTTATATGTATATATATATATACATATATTCTGCTTTATTCAAATATATTACAGACTGCATTACAGTGTATAATATACACTGTGCTGTCCACACCAGCATCAGCATATCCGGTATGATATGCAGTATACAGTACACTAGTATATATTGAATAATGCATCCATATATTGTATATCGTTAACATTATTATTATCCCATACATGCTGTGCTGCATCAATATATAGGGAATGGACTCGTCCAGGGTCGTGGTGAGCAGCAGCAGCAGCAGCCAGCGTAAACAGCAGCAGCAGTTCTCATCTGCCATCCGAACGTCAAAGAGCGTCACCTTTGGTCCAGACGTCGGGTTCGTGGCTGGTGTGGACAGGATGAGCAGTCGGTTGACGGGATTGGATCCCAACACGACAGAGAAGCTCCAGGTGATTTACGGTCTCTTGGTGCGTGCATGTTTATTGTCGGACGCATATACGCAGTGTATATGATGCACACCACCTAACTGATCATCACCATCATGCGAGTGTTCGTGTGCTGTATACGTGTGCCGTAGTATTCTTCTTCGTATTCCTGCTGCTGCTGCTGTTCCCTTCCTTTTCTCGACTTATTGTTTTCGTTGATGACGTCCATATGTTGCTGATGATGTGAGCACCTGTTTACCTTTTTACATACGGTACTGCTGCTGCTCCTTGATGTATCAGAGTGTTGGTGATGAAGGATGCTCATCTCGAGTGTAAAAACAATTAATAACCTGCTCGCTGCTTGCGTTATTATTGACGCTCCTGATAATTATTATTATTATTTTACTGTACATATACACAGTAGAGAGTGATGCTGCACCCCGCTCGTCTATATACGACGACGACGACGATTCTTGGCGATAAATAATCGTCATTTCATTGTTCACTTCATTCATGCTGGTTGTGAATGTATCAAATTTCATGCTGCTATTATATTGTGATCATCCATATACATATACAGTACGTGTATATCGCAGGTCAACAGCTACGCCCCCGGAGAGCACTTCCACCTGCATCACGATGCCTACTACACTGGGATGCCAACAGAGGTCGCTCTTATATTCATATATATACTGTACATAATCATTTGATTTTCTCGCATTTTAAATGTAAATTCATTCACTCGCTGGTTATATACGGTTGTATATACACGGCAGTGCGCGCCCCTCGTCCATATTTATCCTTGTTATTTTGACAATAGTAATCATAATAATAATAATAATAATAATTAATAATATTAATGTCGCTGCATCATCCATATATACGGTATATATGTACTGCTGCATGCATCATGTACTGTACTGCATTCATGTCCTTTTATCTTGTTTATATATCTTCTTCTCACGGGTATCCATCATGTGTATGCCATCCATTATAATCTATATAAATCACCATGGGCAGCATGACTTTGAGGGGCCCCCAGGACGTCTGGCAACGCTCATGTTCTATGTGAGCCACATTTTTGTATTCATATATCATAATAATATTTTCCGATATACTGTACTGTACTGTGCTGTGCTGTGTGTGCTGCTTCCATGCCCTCCTCGTCTATATTCATGATGTATATATACAGTACTGTATATGCATGCTGTATGATAAAGATTGCATTATTTATTGATGTACAGTGCTGTGAATATAAAGTATATGATGACACGTATTACATGCAAATATATATATATATATATATATATATATAGATAGATATGATGCTGATGAATGATGAGCGATATAAATCAGCAGTACTGTACAGTACAGTATATGTACAATGTATTGCATGATGATAATGCCATATACAGTACAGTACTGTATATACACACGGCATATACTGTATGTATATATATTTAGTTGACTGACGTCGAGGAAGGAGGCAGGACCGTGTTCCCGGCCCTGGGACTCAGTGTGAAGCCCAGGAAGGGATCGGCTCTGCTCTGGTTCAACCTCAGGTCGGACGGGAGACCCGACCTGAGGACACTGCACGGCGGCTGTCCGGTCATCCGGGGATTCAAGTGGAGTGAGTACACTCCACTTGTACTATACAGTATTGCATTCTATACTATTGCATTTTACTTTATACTGCTGGATGCTGCGATAGATATACTGTACTCATATTAGTCTATATATATATATACCATACGTAATACAGCAGCAGCTTACGTATAATTGTGCAGTTGCGTGTATTCAGGAAAAATATATAAATATATATATAATATTCAGGAAAATTATATATATATAAATATATATATAAATATATAGGAAATATATATAGGGAAAATATATAAAATATATGACACAGGCACCCCCAATATAATTCAAATTGACTTCTTATACTATATATATATATGCGTGGGTCGAGGACTTATTGTTTATCTTTACATATTCATCATCGTTTTCCACGTGCATGCACTTTCCCGTAACTTTCCTCTGCTGTGGTGGTCTGCATGCATTTCCTAAGTACTGTAATATGATGCACTTGAACCCGCTCTATTAATTCAAATTCAATTATATATATATATAGGGACCAACAACAAATTAAAAAATAGTTCGCCTCATTATACGCAGCGCAGGCTGTGACTTATATACAGTACTGTATTGTATATAGGAAAACAAGCTTTTTCGTTATGCACAGCAGTATTGGAAACTCAGATAAGAATAAAATAATAAGGCAGGAAATTGTAGACCGAGATATTCTGAACCTTATTATTACTTTACACGTCCTGATGCTTTCTTGACAGGATGCTGAACCTACGGTATACAGTACGGCAGTATATTTAAAGGCGAGCGTTTTTTTTTTAAATTTTTATAACCGATTTTGTATTGTCTCACGCTTACTATTCCTCTCAAAATACACAAGCATTGCGGTCTTTTTCTTTTTCTTTTCGCTTTCCTATATGCATGTCTGCAAGCAACTAATAGCCAAAACGCCTTGATGAAATTCGAAGAATAATAAAAGGATGCTTATTATTTATTGAGGGAGAGAGAGAGAGAGGGAGAACTCATCCTTATTCCGCTTACAGAGGTTTTTAAACAAAAAAATTCAAATTATTGTTTCGAAGGGAGTTCAAACGGGGACCCCTGAAGAAACTTCGGCTAACGTAGGGAAGTTCAATAACTGTACAGTCTATATGTACAACATACGTACATGCTACACGTATGTATAAGCTCTTGCGTATTATTATCAGTCCATGAAAAACAACGACGATTGTACAGGATAAATACAGTATTTTTTATAATGTCGTAAACTTTATGAACTTTGCTGGGAAAGGCATTAACAATTGAACGACACACGAGAGGATACAATAAAAAGTGACTACAGTATTCCTATGTACTGTACCTTAATAGCTTCTTATATATATACGTATATAGTATACAGTACTGAAATTATTTTTCTTTTTCAACTGTAAAATACCGTTGTATATGTGTTTGTATATATACTTTTGTTCCACAGTCGCCAACAAATGGTTCAACATCAAGAGTCAAATGTTTCGTCGGCCGTGCCGTTTGCAATACGACGAGGACGACGATTAATAATACTGTACAGTATAACAATAGGCACGATGCTGCTGATGCTGGTTTTCTTTAGCTAATGCTGCATATCATCTGATGCTCCTTCAGCAACGTGTTTGTTTAATTTCATTGTTTATTCATATATGCTCTCTTGTGGGAATATATATACATGTGCAAGCAGTACAATAATACTGAATATAACAGAAGCTTCATTTCTCAAATGTTTCTTTTCTCCCGAATATTTTCTGAGGATTTTAGTTTAGAAAATTATGGGCGATGGCGGCAAGCGCACAACGACAGGAGGAATTTATTTTTCAATGCCTTCAGCATCATTCAGGGTTATTTTTTTCATTTTGCTTTTTCATTCCATTGTAATCCTGCTGGCGAATGTGAAAATGAAAAAATACTCAACCTTGAACGACAATGAGGAGGTCATCCGGCTCAATTATTTACCTTTCAGTTCATACAAAGTTATTTCAGGATGTCCTTGTCTCATATACTGTATTACATCATGTTGAATTCCAGAAATCTTTCGTGCCTTTCTATACTGCAGTGCGCCTTTTATATCGTATATATATACCGCCGGACTCCCCAACACTTTGCATATACTCAGTCATGTTCAGATTCCTTCATTATTCGTGCCTTGATTCCCTGCGCACTAACATCGCGTAATGTGGCTCTAACTGTCTCATCCAGTATGGCGGTGAACAGTCACACCATAGCATCAGCCTAGGTCAACCTCCAACCTGTATGGCGAAGCGATTTTGAGGCAGTTTTATCTTTTGACATTGTTTGCCGTCGCCGGATGTTTTAATCGGTGAGGAATTTAGTTTCGGTGGTACAGTTGCCGTGCATCAGAAGAATACCCGGGGTGGAAATTTTTCAGTGTATTTTTTTTTTTAAGTTACAGACCAACTGAGTCAAGATGATGAACTAGCGCAAAGACAGAAGTTAGGCGTTGAATTTAGTTACGGTCGTGTGGAAAAGGGTTTTGAGTTTTTCAACCTAGAACGTTGAAACCGTGTTGTTATAGATGAATGATTTCTCACGAGTTTTTGGGACCGAATGTTCCGAAAGAATTTCATGAGAGATCAATTTAGTTTGGATTTAGTTCATGGATTATCCACAACAATGAGTAATAAACCAGTGAAAGAAAAATAGAATGCAATCTTGAAAGAAAGAAGCCGATTAGCTTCGTTTTTAAACCTGTTCAACGTTTGCTCTCTTCTCTGGTGTTACGAAAGATATTTGTAAAGCGAAAGAAATACTTCGTCGTTTGTGAGTGGAAGACCTTGTTTGTAGCGCTGTCCAGGTTTGTCATTCAATGATTGCTGGGTTTGTGATCATTTGTTATTGCACCCCCACTACTCTTAAGTGTATGATTTAGGTTTCTTTCACGTATACATCGGCTTTAGCCTATGACGTTATAATATTGGTTGTGAGTGCTTCGAAATTCGGGCAATATCTTAATGAAAATAATTGAAGCGAATTTCCTTAAGTGGCGCAAGAGGCGAAGTCAGCGGATTTTTTCCCGTACTAATACAGATCACTCGAACGTTTGTTTGCAGGGGAGTGCCTTTTTTCACGGCAACAAATGGCCAAAAAGGAGGACGAATGGAACGGTCTCAGCCCTCATACGAGATGCGAAGTGTTGCACCAGTGGTTGAGCGACTTTCGCATGTCATCTCCGCACGCATCTCTCTTGGATCTGGCGTCAGGAGAAGCAATTGCAGAAGCCCTGTGTCAAATTGACCCGGATTTCTTCTCTCCGGAATGGTTCACTCAAATATCCAGGGACGTGTCTGCAGAAAATGTACCCCTCAAGCGCCGGAATTTGAAAAAGATCGTCAACAAGATCAAAGAGGGTTTCATGGAAAGATTTCATTTCCAGCTTGTTGGCTATCAGTTTCCGCGTGAAGATGCCATCCTCGCTTCTGATGAACTCGAGCTATCCAAGCTTTTGCAAATGGTGTTGACGTTCGCTGTGTACTGCGAAAAGCAAGAGGTGTGTTTCAAATAATTTCTTCTTCCTGTACTTCTGAGCAGTATCGTAAATTTAATCTCCAATACGACTATTCTGTCGTAAAGCTGAAGTACTGTGATGTTGAATCATGATGCTTTACTTGACGAAATCCACGTGATCCTGTTCTTCAAGGGTATTACGCAATTGCTGTCGAATGAGTTTACTTTCATCAACTAGAGATAAAATATAGCTATTGAAAAGCTGGAAATCCAGGAAATGATGCTACATATAACTTTTTTTTAGAAATGCGTATATCAAATGAAAAGTATATTTGCAAGCATTTCAAGGTGACAGAAGGAGAAAGGATTAATTAAAGAAGATGAGGGAATGAATCATACTATTTTACGATTTGGTTCTGGTCTGTCTAGCTTTTCTTGCCATTTTATATAGTCAGTCTTTTCATTTTTTTTTTGCTATAGGTGTTCATCGACAAGATCCGCCAAATGGAAGAATTCCTCCAGGGCGCCATCATGATGGCGATCACGAATATCCAGGCCCACCTGGAGCAACTATCGTATGGTCAGATGCCGTCGCTCAAGGCCAACTACCCGAACGCGAGCCTGCAGCTGCAAAAGGCACACGACGAAGAACGCGACTTGTATCTGATGTGCGAAGAGTTGAAGCAGTCGTTGTCGCAGGTGCGGGAAGACAACGCCAAGCTGGCCTCGGAACGGGACTTCCTGGCCAAGAAATTGGACGAGCTGAATCGGATGGTCGGTGGTTCGCCGCAGAGCGTGCCGCAGCTCAAGCAGAAGATCAAAGAGCTCGAAGACCTTTTGGACAAGGAGTTCAGTGGCAAGGAGACCCTGGGCAAGTCTGTGGGTGAACTGGAGCGCACGAACCGGCAGCTGCAAAAGACCAACTCTCGGCTTTCCGAAGACATCCGGGCCCTGCAAGACGAAGTGGACGTACTGCGCGAAGGCCGAGAGAAGCTGATGACGCTAGAGAAGAGCGTCGCGACGCTGTCGTACGCTGCCGAAGAAGTGGGGTCTTTGCGCGGCGTCATCAAGGACCTGCGAGGCCAGCTGGACGAGGTGCTCAAGGACAAGATCCGGTTGGAGGAAGAGGCCAAGGTCGTGCCGCGGATTCAGTCCGAGCTGGACCGCGTCCTGGCCGACAACAAGCGGCTGGAGAAGCAGGTGGAAGACGAAGCCTCGTTCAGCGGACGTGATCGACAGGAGCTGAAGCAGCTCAAGCAACGCCTGGAAGTCGTGGAGAAGGAGAAGGACGCTCTTGTGGTCGAACGGTCGATGTTGCAGCAGCAAGTGGCCGACTTGGAAGGTGGCGGCGGCGGAGGAGGGGGAGGAATTGGAGGCGGGGGACTGAAATTCGGCGGCTTGCTGGCCGAGACTGACCCGGACACGCTCGAGATCATACCCATTGCAGTGCGAGAGAAGATGCTGCGGCTCGAGCACGACGTGCACCAGCAGGCCAGCCGGATCAGACAGCTGGAGGTTGAGCTGGCAAGGACTCCTGGCCCCGTCATGGATGACTGCAGTGCTCGACTGCAGGACCTGTTGGACAAGAAGGACCTGGAGATCCAGGAGATGGAAGAGCGATACAAGAAGTACCTGGAGAAGGCCAAGGTGATCATCCGGAGTCTGGACTCGAAACATTCCGTCACTGCCGGCGGCATCGTGTCTTCCTCCTCGTCGACACCGGTGTCGTCGCTCATGGAGCTCAACTCGTTGCGTATGCAAGTGGTGCAGCGAGACAAGACGATCCTGGCGTTGGAGGAGGAGCTGGCGGCTCTCAAGGCCACGAAGGAGATGGAGGAACGGCTGATGACGACGGCGTTCTACAACCTGGGCATGCAGCTAGATCGGCAGGCGGGTCAGCGACGCCTGAGTGCGAGCCCACCGGTCGTTGTTGGCCCGGCGTCTTCGTCGGCGACGATGATGATGACGACGACGACCACGCCGCAGACGTCGGCGACGGCAGCAGCCACCACTGTGAGTCTCCTGGCGCGACACCGCGACTCGTTCCGTCGTCGGACGACGCCGTCGGTCGGCAACCAGCTCCCGTTGCTTGCCGGGGATGTCGGAGTGGGGAACACGCCGTTGTCGGGATAAGACGCCAGCGTTTCGCTTGCATTCCGTGAGCTGTGAGCTGAAAATTCCTGTCTATCCACCCGCTCCTTCATTCCTAAGATTCCTTCTGCTCTGCCTCCGCCAAGGAAAAATATGTGCAAATGAGTTGATTGAGAGAGAGGAGGAAGGGAGCTGTACGAGGTTTGGTTCCAATAGTTTTCTGCCAGTAATTTTCAACCCCTTTTCATTGCTTCCTGCGTACTGTATTTCCAGGATGGAAATCATCGTGCGGGAATAATATTTTCATCTCTTGTGATTCGAATATTAAATTGGAAGTGTACGTCTTGAACCAAGCTTTCCTCCCGGCAGTAGCATGTTCTATAAAGTTGCAAAAGGTCAGAGTGAGCTTCCAAATGTTTTTTCACAAGGGACGAATGAATTTTAGGATGATACTCTAGATCTGACGAACTACTGTATGTGCAAACGAGACAGTGTTGACGATTTTTCGCCCGATTTGTGTTTTAATACCGTCGATTAGAATTGGCTATCTCGTATGGCAGCTAATGATCACGAATTTGACCCGAAAAAAAATTAAGGGAAGCCTTTCATTTTGAGTATTGGTGTTGATTCTTTCTACTGCTCTGGTAGCGTGTAGGATTCAGACGATAGAAACTTGGGCACCAAAGAATTTTTCGAAAGAAGTGAACACTTCTGGCATTTTTGTTTTTTGTTTTGATTGCATTGACTTGTTGGATATAATATGAGCGTTCATTAATTAAAGCTTACATTTTGTTCGCGCTAAAGTAGGCTCTTTGTCGAGATATTTTTGTTTTTTTTCTGAATTCCGAGGGGTATTTTAAACTATTTCGAGGTGCAGTACAGTAATCGCAAACTACTGTACTAGTTGAACCAACCCTCTAGCGCGGCAGGTGTGCTGGAATTTTTCCAATTCTCCACATGCCTGTTACCCCCATCCAGTTTTCCATCTTGCCGCCTTTTTTTATTCCAAATTTGTTAATGCGAGCTCAAAGAGGAATCGGAGGAAGGATTGCTTGTATTTGACTTGTTGCCCAAACTTGATATTCAGCAACTAACTGCCTTCCGAGGCGGTATGTTCCCTTTTTTTTTCGTGCCGCTCGTCGTGTATTTAAAGAATGGAACGAAATATTTTGAAAGAGAATTGACCTCGTATTCCGTCCAAAACTTGTGCTTTATTATTTTTTGTTTTCTCGAGAACACGCAGATGTGATTCGAGCGTGTCACTTGTAATTGCAGAGGCTGACACCGAGAAATATATTGATGGTTGCTTTCGTCGTTGGTGGTTTTTCATTGTATACTTTCGTTTCATGTATTGTACAGTATGCTTATTATTTTTAACGAGGCCATGCATTGTTATTTGAGAAGATGGTTTTCTCCGTCCTGGCAGCTGGAGGTGGAAGAGAAGCAGTGACCGGTGTTCTGCGAGCAGCATTCAAAATGTCGGTCATGCATGCGAGGAGGAAAGCGAGTCCGGATGCCTTTTTCTTCACCGACATACTTGAGACGAGGGCGAGGGTCGTGTTTGAGGCCGTATCGGCATCGTTGGACAAGGAAAGGTACGTCTGGAGTTAAGATTTTCGACTACCCTGCTGCATTGTACAGTACAGAAGTGATTGAATTAGACATGTTGCATACTCCTGGATGCTATTAATTTTACTTTTTACCTTTTCAAATTATGTTTTCAAAGGTATTTCCTGCAAAGCATGACGTTGGATGAAGCTGTGAGGAGTCCGTGGCAGAAAGAGTGTGCCTTCGTCATCCTGTGGACGCGGAAGGCGCCGGAAATGGGCGACTCTTTTTCCGAGCTCGTGCCCAAATTGCGGGACCATTTGTTGGACGGTGGCAACGTGTTTATCCGCGCTTCAGGCGGCAAAGACTTTATCGACGTCAAGGAGGCGTTGATTGGAACCGGTGAGTATGAGTGTTCTTGATGTTGTGCAACTTGTTTTCAGAAAATGTTTGTGTTGAGGACCTTTTTGGTAGTGTGTGATTACTCGACTGATTCTGTTGCTGTGGTCTAACGACACGCAGTGTGTGCGTGTGCGCGGGCATTCAAGCGGAAACCGCTTCATTATGAAGTTAGGAAAATTCGCACCGAGAGTCCATTATTCGTTGGCTAAGTTTGGTAGGATATGAAGCAGTTTGGTTGTAAAGCTGGTGTAACGCTAGATTTTATGCGAATTTTCACTGAGAAATTCAGCAAGGTGTTCCATTTCTAGGACCGTTTTTAATGTTCTGCCAGAAATACGCGTTGCTTGGATTATTTACTTGACTAAATAAGGGGGGGGGGGGGAGTAATAAACAAATATTGGGCGAATATGAGCGTCAACTTACAGGGAAAATTGAAGTGCGTGTATTTCTGTAAACGCAATTCTGGGTGTGATTTCGTCGCGTGATGGTTCTGGTGAGAGAAAAAAATTTTAATCATTTTGGTTTTTTGCATTTGTGTGAAAGATGCACACGTTCTTCTCGCATTTGCCTGATTTCAGGTGGTGACGGGCGTTTCGTGGATACTGGTTTAAATCTCTTCCCTGAAAGGATCGTTCATCTTGACGTTGTTAGTGAAGATTCCTTTTTTCTGTTTCGTGTCGCTCTTTTCCCCCCTTTTTGTTTTATGGTAAAATTACAACCAACTCTCTTGCCAGGACAGCGACGCGGATATTCAAGATGGGCGAAATGTTACTGTGGCTGCCCTTAACAAAGCAGGGTTTTGCTGTGGCCATGAATATAAGGAGGATGCGGTTGAAGTTGAAAAATATGAACCACTGGCGTGGTTCTCGGAATCGGGTGCTCTTCCGCGAGGAAACCGTTTCAAGCTGGAAACTCGTCCATTTTTCACCGGTGCACTTTTCTCGTCGGATAAATACTATGCCGTGAGTTTTTGCGATTTTTCTCAATTTACTCGACAAAAGAGTTTTACATTAAAGCTGAATTTGACTTGAGCTCGAATTGAACGATACGAAAGCGTTAAGGAGTTTCTTTCTAGCCAAGCGAACGAGTTTTTTTTTTTTTCGAGTTCACGGATGCCCTCAATACGTTCGCGTGTGTCCTAATCTAAGTAAAATAGGAGGAATGTCTGGTTTTGTATATAGGCGCCAGTTTGTAGGAATGAAAATTCTCCGCGTCGAACGTGGAATTCGCAAGTGTTAGTCGGAAAAGTTAACGGTATTCGACCCAGTTTCGAATGAGACATCCGACGCCTTGTCTTGTTGAAAACATTTTGGAGTTGAAAATATCACGAATGCTTCTTTTTTTTGTGCTTTACGAAGAGCTTTTTCTGTTGTTCTAAACATTTGCATTCTGCGTCGATCAAGAATGGTTCGGTAAAAATAATTATTAGAAAAAAAATGAATGAATGAAATCAGTTTCTGAAAAATGTACGAGTATTTACTTGAAGTTAGACTGTGAGTAAATGAATATCCCGCATAGGATCGCATTTCTTGGAAGTGTTTTTGACGCTCCATCGATCGAAGAATCTCGAAAAGTTGAATGAATTTCAACATGTACTGTACATTCAGTATTCTTTTCGTCTTTTCATGTTCATTTTATTGTTGAAGGCACTCAAAACGAGAGTGATTGGTCGTGATGTAGCTCTCACGAAGCTGGTTTCATCCACGATGGATGTAGTGGATGACTTGCAGGTACCCCACGGAAGTGCGGTAATAGCTGAACTTCAAAACTCTGGCAAAGGTTTGGTTTGTTGCCTCTGGTTTTTTTTTTTTTTTTCCTTGCTCCATTGTTTGGAGGTTACAATGGATTCAATTTTTTTTACAACGAACGTTTCCCCAGGACGGGGCGGAAATAAATGGATCAGTCCACTGGGCTGTGCCATGTTCTCTCTTTGTCTGAAAGTCGATTTGGATTCGGCCGTCTTCAAACACGCTTCGTTTGTTCAGCACATTGCGGCTGTCGCCGTTCTCAAAGGCTTGCGCGCTTTGCCCCTTTGCGAGGTGCGTTTGTAATGTTTCATCATCTACAGATTCTACAGTGTAGTACAGGAGAACCTCGTTACTTACAGCATACGTATTTACCCTTAAAATATCAGTTTTATGCTACTATGCGTGTAAAATTCCAGAAGTGCTTTTGGATTCATCCTTTGGAGTCTGCATTAGCGTGACCGTGCATCTCTGCTGTGAAAACCAGCAGGACTTGCACTACAGTATATACCGGAAAAGCAGCGTCTAATTTTGCCGCGGGCTAAATACAGTCAAACTCAGATGAGATTTGTCCAGGGAGATTTCGGCGGTTTGAAGGGGTTGGCGGTTTATCGAATATTTCATTTTGAATGCTTTGATAGAAATTACTCGATTTTCCGCCGAAAATAACAAATACCGTACAAGCTTTCTAGAAACTTCATTAATTTTTCAAAGAGTAATGCTGTGATACAGTATATGGATTCCTCTTTCAGAAAATGAATTTTTGCTACATCTGTATATTTGAAATTTTGAAGTCAGGTCTATCTAGTGTTCAAATTATTCAGAAGAATACGCATTTTCATCTTTTTTCTTATTAAAATACGAGATTTTAGACAAAAAATATACTTCTACCTCAATGTTGGCGTTGTAACGAAGACGGAACTAATACAAAACAGCACGTTTCATCACTAATGCTGGCGGTTGGCGTCTTATCGAGTTTTTCTATGATATTTTGCATCGAGAATATTTGTTTCATGCAAAGATATTGGCGGGTGGCGCTTTAACGGCGTCGTCTTGACGGGGCTTGATCATTAAAACTGTCAAGATTTATTTTTAACGTTTTTCTTGCATTGTTACATTATTCTGGGTACAACTAAATTGCTGAGAATGATTTTTGAAAAACTTAATTTCTTCCGATTTTCCTGCTTCCGAGAATTTTTTTTTTAAACCAATACGATAGATTCAGCATTGCTCTTCATACGTTTTACTCAAGAACTAATACAGTGTATTTGAGCTGCATTGACGAAGCTGATTTCAAGTGTTTTCTTATTTTTTGGGTTCCTGCGTGATCAGGATTTGGATGTCTGTTTAAAATGGCCGAATGACATCTACCTTGGGGACCGTAGCAAGATTGGTGGCATCCTTGTGAAGACCTCCGTCTCGGGTTCTTCCGCAGTTTTTAACATTGGTGAGACGCGATTGTAGATTAGAATTTCTGGATATATACGTGTGGAGTGCAGCGAAGGAGATGCGGATAATCATGTTCGGATTGATGGATTTGTTGCGTAGGTGTTGGGGTAAATTTCTTGAACGAGTTGCCCACGACTAGTGTGAAGAATGCCTTGGGTGAGGCTGGGGATCAGCTGCAGTTTGAGCACTATTTCGCCTCAGTGTTCCTGGAATTCGAGAGAATCCTGGAAGAGATCGCGGTGGGCAATTGGGCAGTTCGTGAAGAGTACGTCAACTCGATGCTCATGAGGTTCGTTTTTTTTTTCCGAGTACTTCTGAGGCATATACCGTACATGTGTCAAATTCCTCTGTGGAGCCGAAAGAAGCCTTTTTTTCACTGGGCCGCCAAAAATAAAGGCAAAACGTGGTTTGGAAAAGTTTAAGTTATAATATTGTATTGTAATAAATGTTAGGTTTTGTTCGTCCCGTGCAACTTGCTTTTCATGGGTACTTGTTCCTCGCATTTGAACTGCCATTTTAATTTTAAACTGGGTCATCATTGGTTCCTTTTTTTGGCCAGTAGCAGTGTGATCATTGAACATTTACTACATTCCTTGGAGCTTTTGAGAAAGATTTTTAAATCTTGTATTGATACCCTATATTTGTTTTCTCTTGCAGGCAATTCTGTTGGTCTTATTCGAATTAATTTTTTTTCTTCTAAAAGATTCGAGACGTACCCAGAATTGTGCATTTGCTGATTTTTTACGCTCGGCGGTGTATTAATACACTGAAAAATAAATTTAGCCCTTATTTTTCCTGCATTTTTGTTGTGTTTTACGAACTGTGATGAAGATTTCATTTGACTGACTTATGACTGTTTTTTTTTCATGTTCTTTATCGATGGGTTTCCCTTTGAAATGAAAGGAAGAAAATTCAAATTTAAACGTTCCTGCCTGTTTTCTTTTTCCAGGGGCTCTGTTGTCGAAGCACAAGTGGGCACCGGGGATGCGGCCACAATGGTGGCGGGGACGGTGGAAGGGATCGACGGGCACGGGTACCTCACCATGCGTCTGGAACACGGGGAAATCCTCTCGTTATTCCCCGACGGGAATCGGTTCGACATAACCAAAGGACTCATTGTCCACAAGTGAATCTTATCCATTTCGTTCTCCGCTGATCACGTTTGGGTTCGTGAAGGGGGTGAGAAGGAAAGTGACGAGAATCTGCATTTGCTTTATGCTGCACTCTTGGGGCGTGCATATATGCTTTTGCTTACAACGGTTGCTTTTAAAAATGGTTGCCTATCGCGTTGAAATACAGCACTGTATGTGATTTTTCCGGACGCATGCCTTTCCATTTTCTCTCTCATTGTGACTTTTGTTTGCCGTTGTATGTGAGGGTTTTGAGTCAAAAGGGCGTTTATTTTTTGGCTCTGCAGGTTGATTGATGTTGACGGGTCGAGAGAAAATAGGGATACGTGTCCTTGCTTACTTCATCCTTGTCTGAATGGAGGAGAGAAACAAAGCAATTTTGAGGCTTGCCTTCCCAGCGAGTCGCGTTTTGGGCAAGTTCTTCGGCAACAAGGAGCAATTGGAGTAAGTTGTGTGGGGTAGTCATTTTGCGTTTTCCATCAGTAAACTTCACTGAATTCATTATTTTCTGCACGTGACACACACTGGTAGGAAGGATGTGGAATCGGGATGTGGAGATGCACTTGTTGGTGTGGAATTGACGGCGCGACGCGATCAATGGCGGAATTTTGCGGAAAGGTGGAACAGGAAGCAGGTTCTGACACAGGGCGCTTTTCAAGAGCAGGTGATTTCACGAGAAAGCCTAGTCATTTTTCTTTTCAGGAAAGAGATTTTTAAAAAGGCTGCTGGCGATATTTAAGACACCACTCTCATAGTAAGTCAAGAATTCAATCCCGTAAAGGTAGAAGGAAATACAGTACCTTCGCACAATGACAGCATACCGTAAAGCAGAACTTCTTGCGATGAAGAGCTGCCCATCCAGGCGAGGTCATTCTATGATTCATTTTTTTAAGTGAAATGAACTTCGTAATCGGTAACGCACTGAGAGAAGTCGTGAGATGTCTGCGTTAAGAGCATTCAGAACGTTGAACCACAAGATTCTTCTGCGAACTTTACGGCATCCGAGGAGGTGGAGAGACGTTGGTTAAATTTTCAATGATGGACTTTTTTTTTCCTATCAGCCCCTTTCATGCTTGATATGGACCATCAATGATGGAAGTGAAGCGCACCCTGATCTTTGATGAGCAAAAATCTGAGGAATTTGAAAGGCGCCCACGTCCCGTATGTTGATTGGATAAACAGTACTGTACTGTGATCATTTTCTCGCGCAGAGGTCCGGCTTGGAATGTGTGGGAGAATCAGTGCACCTTGTGCACCAGATTGCAGATGAGGTGTTTGCCCCGCATGCGTGGGACCCGCGCCAGGATCCGCTAGCACACTGCGTCAAACGATATGTGGCGTCCAATCTGCTGCGGCTTTCGTCGCTGCTGAAAGTGATTCAGACGGCGCGACCAGCTAAGTGCGATGGTGGCGCGTCAACTAGTGGGCGAGTTTTTACTTTTTTCAATGCCTTTTTATTCATTAAGAGTCAGTTTTATCCTAAAATGCAACTCAAATCTGAAGAGATCGTCGAAAAAAATAAATGTTGAGGAAATTACTGGCGACGGTTGAGACTCGTATGCATCACCAGCGTCACAGCTAGGAATACAACCGTGTTTTTAACCCTTGAAGATCATAGAGAACAGAAGAAATGTATCACGGTTAATTTCCTTCGAACAAGAGCAGGTATTTCTAGAGTGGAAGAGCAATGCCAATACTTCAAGTGAAAATTACCATGAAGAAAGTGACCGAATCTCGAGTAATCGTGGAACATTGATCAATCTCTGTTCGCCGGTCTTCGTAATCAACTTGGAAAGACTACTTGTCAAGCTTTTTTTCTTCCTTTTATCTAAGGAACTTTTACAACATTAAAAAGTTGGTTTTGATGACGATTTTGGTGAAGTCGGTGTACGGAGGGCAGATTCGATAGGTTTTTTTTCTTCTTGTTGGTTGGTTCACGCAGGCCTGCTGATGTCGAGTCAGTTTTGCTGCGCCTGGAGACGCAGTTGCGGACAGTCGTGTCCTCCTGCCCAGCCGTGGTGGCCGGAGTGCGGGACGCCATGAATGTCGCCAAACACGACCTCATATGTGACACGGAAGTGAGACAGAAAGCACTGGGTTCGCCTACTGGTGCGCTAGTGGCGACCGAACTAGAGTTGCTCGCAGTTGAGCTCGGCTCTGAATACCGGGAAGACGTGGAGTCGTTGCGGGACTGCGTGCGTGTGCTGGACGCCTTGCTGCTACTTCAGGCGCCAACGGTGGCAACTGGCTGCAAGGCCGATCCCACAACGCCGCTGTCGTCTCCATCAGATTCGACATTGGTCTTGGCCGAGGCCATGGCGAAGTGAGTTGTACATTGTTGGTTTGCAGGTTGGACGGAAGAAGTTGATGTCCTTCTCGGGTCGAGGAGTGCGACCACCATTGAACCACGAAACCAAAATGTTCATTTTCAAAGTACTGTACAGGATGAACTGAGCAAATGATGTTGTGCACTTGCACTTGAATGTACTGTATATTACAAGCCAATTTAATTTCTTCTATCAATCATTTGAACTGTTTTTCACAGCATGGATGATTTTCTAACAATGATTAATTAATATTAATAATTAATTAATAACCATTTTTAGTTTAAAAATCGATGGAAATCTAAGCAGATGCGTGGTGTTGTGACATGATTTTCTGCATCGATGAGCATTTTAAATGCACCACGACTAGCGGCGAAGAAAGTTGGTATTGTATGACATGCATGTACTCAGGGCCAAGACCGTGCTGCAGAGGGAACGAGAATCGGCGAAACAGCTTCAAGAGACTCTGGTTGCATTCAAACATGCCAAGGCGCAGAAGGACAGGCTTTTGAAGGAACGGGCAGAAGCTGTGTCCGCCATGGATGAGCTGATTTGTGTTGCAGCCAACATGCAGAAAGTAAGCTTTCTCATAAGATTGACTTGAATATTTTGTCTAGACTAATCCGGAATTTCCCCATCAGGAACAAGCCAGTGTGAAGGAAACTGCTTGGAGAGAATTTTGGACAGAGGACGAAGCAAGACTAGAGCTCATCAGGGATTTTATGTCCTGGAAACAGTGAATGGTTTTGTGTGTATATGCCTCTCGGGTGCCTTGATGTTTGGTCCAGATAAATTTCATAATTCTCTATGTGCATCATTTTTTTTTTCGTATTGTAATTCTTACGAAATCGACAAATGCTTGGAATCAAGTACAGGCAACGATCAACAATTTGCAACTGAAATGTATAATAAAAGAAGGCTCGAAAGGTTGACTCTTCAGAGTTGTTATTCACAACATCCCGAATTCGCTCCTCATTCCGTTGGAAATGTTCATTCCCATGAGCCTCGTTTGTACGCGTTAGTAATATACGATCAAATATAAATATGCAAAAAGCTCACAGCAGCAGTTTCGCCCGTTCATCTACAAATCCCAACCTCCGCATTTTTCTGGGATTCGATCCAAAATTGTCTCGTTCATCCTGATGGATTATTGAACGCAGTTCCACCAAATTTTCGATTCATATTAACTGAAGATCCAATTGGCAAAAACTTCGGCACTTCGCCACGTCAGCGCACAAAAGTATCAATACAATACAGTAGTTCCAAATGCTAGCTCTACATTGCCTGCGGGCAACATCTGCAATACACGGGATAGCTCAAAAGATTTTCCAACAACTTCCAAATACTGTAACTGTACTTGAAAATCGCACGTACTGAAAGCTGAATTTTTTTGTTTCAAACGCGAGCTCCATCCGTTCATATTTTTCGAAAATAGCCTGGGTTTCCGGACTACAGTTACCATGGGAACTAATTAAGAAGTACACAAACCAAAATTCATCATTCAGAAACCTACGAGAAACATAAGTTTTGATTCGAAGGATCCGGATTTATATAAGAACAGATGGATTTTTGCACGAAAATGTTCCTCCACAATATTTTCCTTACGTTGCATTATTTCTCATCCGAAGAATAATTATCCTTTTGGCCCCCTAAACATTACCGTCCACGGAAAGGAACCGAACGATTCCACTGGTTTTGCTGCGTGAAAATTGGCTCAAAACAGTCTTTCATCGGCCAAATGGCTGTACTTGCATGGTGAGATTAAAAACTCATGTGCCACCATCAGGCGACAAGAACGATTTGCGCATTGCAGAGACTGGCTTCATTCATAAAAAAAAAGAAACCAAAAGGGGGATGATGGAATTGACGACATTCGACAGATGAATGTCAGACCACCACCGCATCCTCAATCACATAGTCGCCGTTGGGCTGGAGCACGCGGCAAATGTCCCGGTTGTGCTTGCTCTTGATGTGCACCTTGAGCGACTCAAACTGGGCCGTTTTGTGGTCACAGTGCGGACACGAGTGTGGTTTATTTGGGCCGCCGCCGCCCCCAGCAGCCGACGAATGGGTTGCCTCGTGGCGTCTCAATGCATACGTATTGGCGAACTCCTTGCCGCAGGCCTCGCATCGAAACAGCTTCAGCTTTTCCGAAACGACGCCATGCTCCTTGTACGAATGCGTCCGCAAATTCCGCTTGTACGAAAACACCTTGCCACACAGGGTACACGGGTACTGTCGCTTTTGCACTATTTTTTTTTTTTCATAAGAAGAAGAAGAAGAAAATAAAGCATAATCGAAGGTGAATTCAAAAACTTTCTTTTTCCGGGCCACCGAACAAAAAAAAAAAAAATGGAGAGAGGCTTGTTTGGGTACCGTCCGTGGTTGGCACACATGTCAACACAGACATTCGTACTCACCATTATGCTCCCGCACCTTGTGCGACAGGACTTGAGATCTGTACATGAAACTCTCCCCACACATGTCACACGGGTACTTCTTGATTCGCTTGTGCACCCCGTCAATGTGGTCTTGGAGCCAATGATGACCAGTACCTATTTAGGGAAAGAAATGAAAAACATTGTAAACCCAAATAACACATTTACGCACACAGGAGAATCACCAGAAAATGGGGAAATCGATTTTTGAGCAGTTACTGAATGGTTAGCGACATCTCACAGAAAAAATTATAAAAAGTGAAATTGCAGAGAAAAAATTTTCATAATTTTCAGCCTGGACCAGGAAATAAAGATGTAATTCATTTTCTTGCTTCCACATCTTGTTTCAAAATTAATCCGAAAAAAAAGCCAAATAAAACTGGGTCCAGGCACCCACGACTTTTTATTTTTTTTATTTAATGAAAGACAAGTTCAGGACAATGAAGAATATATAGTAAATGTCTGATAACCTTTGATAACTTTGCTGCAAATGGGACACACGGCACCGCCGTGATGCGCCCGGTGATTGCACAGGGCCACGTTGGACGGGAACGTGAGCCCGCACTGCTCGCACATGTGGTGATGCGGGACGCCGTGCACGTCGCACGCGTGCTTCTCCATCCTCGCCTGCGTCACGAACTTCTCCCCGCACACGTCGCACGGGTACTTGCCCAGCTTCAGGTGCACGTACTCGAGGTGCTGTTGCAGCTTCTTGACAAACTTGCCGCACACGTGACAGGCCACCGTGGCCTTGTGCACCATGTCAAAGTGGCGGACAAAGGCGCGCTTGGTGGGGAACACGTCGGTGCACTGGGGGCACGGGTGCAGGTGGCGCTGCTTCTTGTGCGCCGCCAGCTCGTCTTCCGTCGAGCACTTGCGACGACAATGCGGGCACGGGAACCGACGCAAGTCATCTTCTCCACCTGTTCCGGCGCCTGCTGCTGTTTCTGCCTCCTCATCGTCGTCGTCATCATCATCGGTATCATCGGCATCACCCTCGTGTTGCTGCTGCTTGTCGTTGTTCCTCTTCCCGTTGCCTACGGAGAAGGAGGAGCAAGAAGAATCTTCCGATTCGGGACATGGGACGGAAAGGGATTCGTCCAAATCAGCCTCCTCTTCAGCATCATTTCCACCATCTACAGATGTCGCCACCACCGTTCCAAACGCTTCCGTGACTTCATCGCCCAACTCTTTCTTTTGGCAGACCGAGTCCTTCTCGTTCAGCACGGGACTCGACACCACGTCCAACAACTCGTCATCTCTCTGTCAAAAAAGAAGCAAGTTCAAGCTCTGTTCCGCAATACAACAAGTAAAAGATGAGAAAAAAGCGATAACGGAAGCAGCAGACGTTTAAAAAAAAACGTAAGTTATGCCTCGATTACCGAAACAAAAGCTCGGCATTTATTCTTGTCACGTTGAAACTAAAGATTCAAAAATCAATTTTTTTGATCACGAAATATTTTCAAGAAAAATGAACAAAATCTTTAATTCGCGCATCACGGCAAGTTTGGAAAACCCCCGCACTCGTTTTCACCTCCGTCTTGACATCAGGACGGGCAGCATTCAGGGTGGCCCAGAGATCGGCAAAAAGTGTGTCCAGCCGCGCAATGCATCGGTCGATGGCAGTCACACGCTTCCAGCACTTGCGGCACACAGACGACGCGGCGTCCAAAGTCGGCCGCGGGACAGACGCAGCCTGGCGCTGCTGTCGCGCCTCCCACAACGGCAGTTGCTTCACCAAGACGACGCCGGAAGATGGCAGCACGATCTCCGACACGACACCCACCACCGCCGTCCGCGACTCGCCGCAAAGCCCGCAAAAGTCCTTCATGGCATTGCAGGAAGGACGCGTGGGGAAACCCGTCTTTACACAGATCTCTCTCTCTCTCTCTCACTTTCGCCCTTCTTCGTCAATCATCTTTATTGCATCCACTATCCTGTGCATGACACAAGACATAGAAAAAGGCAAGTTTACGTACACGAACATGTCAGGTCAGAAAGAGAGAGTATTTATTCATGCTACACTTGGAAGAAACACAATAATGCCTGCGCGAACTGCAGGTACGTAAATACAGTATTGCAGAGAGCTGACCAATTTTCACCAGGACACACATCCTAAGGATTGAAACAAAGCGAAGACACTTCTGAACCATGTCAGTTAAATAATCTCGATTGCTGAATCAATTTACAAAAAATTTCAGTTCCTTATTCATAAACATTTTCAACAGTGAAGCAGATGTCCATCGTGAGCTCGCAGCGAAGTCGTGCATAGAAGGATTGAAACAGATCATTCCCGGCAACAATAAGTAGAGAAGAAAACAGGTCAGATTCTACTTGATAGTTATTTGTCCATGTTGAAATTTAAACCATTTTCCGGAGATATTAACATTACGAAATTCGGCAAATTTTCGTTGGTCCACCCACTATTAGTATAGCCAAAAATTGTGACATTTGGAGACATTCTACTTCATGACTAACTTTCGCCGCTGCATTCCCCCGAAAAAGGAGAAATTCTCTTCTTTCTTCTCCCCCCAAAATAAAAAATATTTCTGGCGCACCCGAAAGATACTCTCTTCAATAATAAAAGCGGAATTCCATTTTTTCGAAAGACAACGAGTTATTCATTCCCCTAGGGAGTTCAATAGACTTACGCAGCACGAACTTGACAGGAACTCGGAAGACAAAGTTGCTTTTCGTTCATCATCCTCAATCCTGAAAAAATAGCACGAATGTTCTTCACTCCCACCAATCTTTCGCTTACAGAACAGGACCCACCACAAATGTATCCACCCCCACGAGCACTTAAAGCCATAGCGAGACTCAAATTGCAAAGCTTCTTCTTTCGCAACAGATATGAAACATTTTTTTTTCCTTTCTAGTCCAAAGAAATTCAACAATTTGGCAAGCATATAATAGCAGCAAAGATTTGGCAACGATTTCGACTCATCACAGGCTCAATACTGTCGGAAAGAAAAAAAAAAAGATGAGCAATAAGCAGTTTTAGCGTATAAGAATAATAAAAAAAATAAAAAATAAAAATGCTTCAAATACGGCACGAGCCATGAGCTCCAAAGAAGTCGAGCAGTACCCCGATGACGAGGACGATTTTGCCCAATGCTCCGCTCTTGTGCTCCAACACTTCCTCATGCGCCTCAGCCACGTTCTCAATACGATATTCCTTGTCCACGACGGGCACCAGCCAGCCTTCACGCAGCCCGTCCACCAGGATTCTGCCCGTCTCGATTGTTTCTTCCTAAATAATGAATGAAAACATGAAGAATAATACGATTTTATTTTTTATTTGAGTGAAAAGTAACCTCAGTGGATGCTCCCAACATCACACCGACAACGCTGGCCTCTTTGGCCATGAGGAGCCTGGGATTCACGTTTGCTTCGCCTCGACAACCAACAACCTAAAAGGCACAGTTATGAAATTATTTAATGTAGAAAATTGAACGAAACCGGACGAATATGGATCAACAAGTTCAGAGTACGAGTCCCCAAAGTTTTGCCAAGTTTGCATATGAAGGAATTTCTCTAAACTTTTTCTTATACAGTAGCAATTTTGAAAGAGGAAAAGAAAGATTTGTTGAAATTATGGAACATCGTACTAAAGCGGAACCGAAGTTTCAGCGCGACACCAACATACTTCATGAATTTCCTTCAAGTGCTGCAACATTTTTGAAACAAGTAATTTCAAGGATGACAATTCGCAACCATGAGCTCAATAAGGAGCACACTGTACTGAAAATAAAACTTGCCACGATTCTTCCGTTCTTCGCGATGCATTCCAGATCAGAATGCAAATTAGCGTCCGCGAGCATCTCAATGATCACATTGACTCCACCACTCCCAGTAGCTTTCATGATATCTGCCATGTGTTGGTCACCCCTGGATGGCGAAACAGCTGTCATTATGTACCTTGTTTGGGTGACCAGAATACAGTACACATACTGTACGGGATTCTCACCTATGGTTGAACACGTGCTTCGCACCCTGGCTCAAAACCAGCTGCATGCCTTCCTCTGAACCGGCCGTTCCAAACACGACACATCCTTGAAAATAATTAATACAGTACTGAAATTGAACAAAACGAAGGTATCACTGATTTCAAGAAGGAACCAGATTGTATTTTAGCTTCAAGCCCTTATGACTTGAAACATCAGGTTCTTGGGAAACCCACGAAGCACTTTAACTCACTTGACATGAAAACAAGAAAACCGAAGGACAGAACTGGGTAGATCTCTAGATAATCTAGACATAATACAGTACATATTCTAAAATGACAATATTGACTCACAAACGTAGGGCAACGCAATGTCGAGGCTAAATTCAGTACTCTAATATTCCTCGTGCTATGACGAATTAAACCTCATTACCGTACTACAGAAAACGATAACAACAAAATGCTAAGCAAAAACAGTTCAAATTTGCTCGTCTTTAGCAAGATGGATCATCTGCTTCACTCATAAATACACCTGAATAAAGGAAAAGTAGGGAAAACTTCAGGATTGGGACAGAAATACAGTACAATCTTCTGTTTCTTTTCCAGGGGGAAAAAACCATAAAAATTTACTCTGTAGTACAGTGCGCAGATAATTTTCAAAACCTCAGAAAATGATTCAATTCATGATAAAACGAAAACCAAACAAACCCAAATGTTTGGCAAGTTGAATAGCAGCTATTCCCACAGCTCCACTCGCACCATGTATCAAGACCGTATCCCCAGAACGGACCTGCGCTCTTCAAGACAAGTACACAGTAACAATAAACTCTACACGAACTGAGAAATAAGGTCTACTCAGTAAATCTGAACATACTTGAGCACTAACGCACGATAAGCAGTGAAGTATGGGATCCCAACAGACGCCCCTTGGGAAAAAGAAACGGAATCGGGTAGCGAGAAAACTTCATGTGCATCCGCAAGCACGAATTCCGCATAGGTTCCCATTTTCTGAGTCATGCAGAAAACCCGCTGACCGACCTTTATCACAGAATGATTGTGAAATAAAATGCGGAGACACAGTGGCACACATTTCATACCTGAAAATCGGAAACCTCTCGCCCAACTTTCGCCACAACACCAGCCCCATCTTTCCCAGGAATGTACGGTAACTTGGGTTTCGAAGCGTAAGTACCGGATCTGATGTAAGTATCTACAGGGTTCACTCCAGCAGCTTTCAGCTCTATCAAAACCTGCAAATTTGTCTCGTTATCTAAGCTCAACAAATTGTACGCGTGCGACTGTACCTGGTTCGATCCGGGCACAGGAATTTCAGTGGAATCCTGCAATTTCAACACATCCGGAGCACCAAACTGACTCACTTTCACTGCTTTCATCGTCGCGAACCGTGCGCAAAGAAAAGTCAACAGAGAAGTTCGAGAGCACGCCTGCATATACAGTGCTGTAATGTGCAAGAGAAACCATGACCCACATGTATTTTAAACAAACCAAACGTTCAGAATAAAACACACCCGAAAGAACCTTAAATTGTGCAGATTTTTTAATGATCTAGACAGGCGCAATCGTACATTTTCGAATATGAATTCAAAGCTCCATTTCGTTCGAGAGAAAGCTCATGCGCCAGACACGTTTTATTCCTGGCCATTCGCTGTAAAAGAATTCAAAATCGTTCAGAGGTGTAGAAAACTAGTCAATTCATTCATCTGACGAGTGCCACGTGAGACGATCTTCATAAAACTTGATGACCACTTGAGGACACTTGACATTCGCGTCCTTCGCTGGTACCAAGTCGGCATCATCGCAACCCTTCCACTTCATGAGAAACATCAACTGGCCGGCTGAGTCCGTCGCTCCGATGATCTTCTCGGCATCAAGACCACGATCGAAGCCCCGCTTCGCAGCTGGACCTTCGCTGGCGTTGCTAGAGGCTGAGTTTTTGCGCTTTCGTCCGGCAGATGCACCCTGCGATTCTTTGCCATCGTCAGAACTCAACTTGCTACTTTTGCTTGACGAATTTGACTTTGTTGGCTTTGGATCTTCCGATTTCTTCGTCGCAGACTTTTTCGGCTCGTCATCCTTTTTCTTGGTCTCCTTCAGGTTCGCGTTAAAGGCTTTCAGGAGATCCTAAAAGACCAGTTCCAAATAAAAAATTCTGAGGGAACTCAGAAACAGCTCACTCGGAACTTACTTCACAATCCAGATTATCCTCAGGCTCCCACGTGTTATCGGCATCATCATAATTCTTCCACTTGATGAGATACTCAGGTTTCCCGTTCTTGATGCGTTTTTTAAGAATTTTCTCAACTTCGTACTCCCCTTCAGGTTCGGGACTTCCTTCTTTATCAGACATATTCCACGAGATTACAACACGATTCACTACACTGAAAATGGTAGGGTGATTTCCACCTTTACATGGATAGGCGTTGATCGCTTTGATCGGTCACAGTTGCCTCCTTGAGGATAATGACTTCCTGAAAAGTACCGGGAACAACAGCGCCTCACAGTGATGGCAAAACACTAGCGACATCTACGAGTTACTTTCTCTTTCCGTTGCTGGGTGATACATTTCGTCAATGACTTGTGAGCGAAGGACACGAAAATGATGAGAGAGGTGTTCGGGATTCTCGAACGATTTTCGTCAGTGCATTAGTGATTAGTTAATTCAGAACGAATGCAGAAGTGCTATGCTATGCTGTGCCATCCATCGTAGATTAAAAATTTTGTTCGACAGACCAATCCTATCGACAATTTCTGATATGAACAGCCGTACCGCACTGAAAAATGTGTTTCGAGCTTTCGACGGTAGGAAAATTCTGTGTTTATTCATCCTTGAAGTTCAGCCCATTCGGAAGATAATAACCATTCAAAAATCCATTGGACCACTATATGCTCCCATGTTTGCGCAACCTGCATCTGTATACTGGTGAGGCGCCGTACATTAACTCCTTCGGGTCGTTCTATTCTCCCACCATTATAGTCGCGGTATTCCAGTGCATCGGGATAGGAAACTTCATGGCCCCAATCCTGTTCAGAAGGATATTTTATTTTCAGACCTTGAGCTAAGATCTGTGTCGACAGTACTTCTATTGTGATGACGAGAATTCATTGAATCGCTGAAACGCAAAGTACTCCTTGTCCCGCTGATCGAAGGGTGGGGAAAGAGTTATCTCACCTCGTGAAAATAGTGAAGGATTAGTGCAGTATTAATTTAGATCGAGGGAAGTTTCCTTGTTGATCACGTGACCAGAGATTTCACAGTGCGAAATTACGTCACTTGGTGTAGGATTCAAAGCTTTACTGTCACCTTTACTTGAAATATGGTTCTTGAAAGCACTGTTATTTGGTGAGTACGCGTTGCACCGTAGCCAGCTCATACGTTTTAAGCATGATTTCTTGGCCAATTTATCGCAGCGTGGACAACAGCGACTTCATGCGTAATGGCGACTTCTCCCCCTCCCGTCTTCAAGCTCAACAAGATGCCGTGAACTTACTCTGCAATGCAAAAACGCGTTCTAATCCTGAAAACAACGTCGCCCTCGTAACACTGGCGAAGTATTTCATCCGCACTCTCTGATCAACATTACGTGTTCGTTCGAATGCATTATGTTTATTCATTCGCAGTAGTTCAGAAGTGCTAACGACGTTGACGACAGATGTGGGGAAAGTAATGGCGAAGCTTCAGCAAGTGCAGCCGAAAGGGGAAGTCAATTTTTTGACGGGTGTCCGTATAGCGCACGTAAAGTTTTCCTTTCGTAGAAACGAAGTAAAGGGTTTGATTTAAAGTTTTACTTCTCTTTTTACAGCTCGCATTGCGGCATCGACAAGGCCGTAATCATCGTATGCGCATTATCGTGTTTGTTGGCAGTCCGCTGAAAGTCACGCCTCCAGAATTGTCGCAGTTGGCCAAAAAACTGAAGAAAGAGAAAGTGAACGTGGATATTGTCAACTTTGGTGAAGAGGTGCGAGTAATTTTTTTTTATATTACTGCATCCGATAACTTTTTTGTCGCAAATGTTTGAAGACTGTTGCTTCTTCTTCGCAGCAAGACGATAACAGCGACCTATTGCAGGCATTCATCGAAGAGCTGCGAGGAAAAGATGGGAGTGGCAGTCATCTTGCCACTCTGGTCGGTGGCTGCGATCTAGTGGACAGTTTAGCCCGCTCGGCCATCGTCAAGGGCGAAGATGGATCTGGGGCGTCTGCTGCTGCTGCTGCTGGTGGCAGCTCTGGCGGCGGATTCGAGTTCGGCGTGGATCCCAACGAGGACCCGGAACTGGCCATGGTAAGTCTTATTCTGGGAATGTGAATGTTCCAGTTTCTGAAGGAAGAGAGAAAAAATAATTTCTCGTCATAGGCGCTGCGAGTGTCGATGGAGGAACAGCGCCAACGGCAGGAAAGGGAAGCACGTGCTGCTGCAGCAGCTGCACCTACGACGGCGCCGGTTCCGGGCGAGAGCCGCCCTGCGAATACGAGTGAGTCTTGGATGCTGATGCGAGTCGGTTGTGGAATGATGGGTTTAAAACGTGTGATTTTACTTAATTATGTCTTTTTTTCAGCCGAAGAAGAGAACATGCTGGTGCAGGCCATTACTGGTGCAGCTAGCTTGGATTCCCATCCCGCAGCTAGCGGATCTAGCGGCTCTGTTGGAATCCCCGATTTTGGGAGCATGTCCGAGGAAGACCAATTGGCGTATGCGATCCAGGTTTCAATGCAAGAAGCTCGTGAGTATATTTTGCAGTGACTTAATTCGAGGGTGACGGAATTTTGATGTCACATGCAGAGGAGGAGAACAAGAGCAAGAAGAAAACTAAAGAAGACGATGCCACCCCTGGGAAGAAGCCGGACGAGAAAGAAAAACGGAAGGGCGGAGGCGAGGATCAGGTTATGGAAGTGGACACCGAGGTGAATGACTTTACAATTGGTTTCATTTTTTTTTCTTGTGTATCACTTCGTGGTGTAATGTGAAGGGAATAGCTTTTTCTGGTAATCTTTGTCCATATTTTGTTCAGTATTGCATGATTTCCCTTTTCGACGTCAATTAAATATTTTATATTTTATGATGCCAATATTTAGAAATATGCTGTAAATTGAAACTTCGAATTATGAATTGTCTATAACTCTAATTCATAGTGTGCTTAATACGATGGCTTGAGGTAAACCCTGTTTTATTTCATTTCTTACGAAATTTGCGTTGCAGTTCTGGAAAAGGGCAACTAACTTCTTGTTCGCCACTCTCTTTATGACAGCCGTCAAATGCAAACACAAAATGACATGGATCGAAGCTTTTTTTTTCATTCAAATGAAGTTTCTAGATTCATTATTGCTGCAGTAATTTTGTATTTACTTTCTAACATCAATTGAAGTGGATGAATATTATGAAGATCTTCGTTCGATTCTCCCACGTTTTCAACCTGCGTGCGTAAAACTGGGGACTAAAGTCATGGATTAGGTATTGCTTCATTAAAATTTGAATGCCGTTTTTTGGAAAGGATGCAAGTGCGACGTTGAATATATATTTGAATGTAACATTGTGCCTCGGTTAATGTGTTGTATCATTAATCGTTAGGAGGACTTGTCAGCTGTTGTACAGGACGCGGAATTCCTTGAGAGCGTCCTTGGAACGCTGCCCGGAGTCAACGTCCAGAGCGATGCGGTCCAATCAGTGGTTGGCGAACTGGCTGGTCGCAGCCAGGAACGCAAACCCAGCGAGGGTGAAGAGGGGAAGAAGACTGAAAAGAAATGAGTGTTCCTCATTCCTTCGGTGCCCTGTCTCGTCTTAATCGGTTATGCGTCTCTCATCTCGAATGTATAATTAAAATAAAGTCGATGGGATTCTTTTCGTCTGTAGCAGTTGCTCTTCGTTTGTCTGTCTTCCGTTCGTACATCACTCGACGTTCCCCTTGATCGTAGGGCTTTTCGGAAAATTTGAAGTGGAACGTAGCGTGAGTAACTCGAGTGTCACGATGGTCGCGTCCGATGTTGAGGATGTGGAAATGAAGTCTGTCGACGGAGAAGGTGTGCGGGAAGCGGCGGGCGCGGAGACGAAAGACGCTGACGCACTGACTCTCGAAGGTAAGTCGTTGCACACGAACCATATTTGGAAGTAATCCTGGAGTATTGGAATATCCTGCCCCCCCCCCCTTTTTTCAGATATCAGAGAACATGCGCGTCTCTTGGAGAAATCCGTGGCGTCCAAAGAGCCGCGATTTGCGATGCGGGTCCTGCGCACGCTGCCAACGACGAGACGGCGGCTGAACCCTGCCGTTGTCCGGCGCCTCATTGAGGGCTTCTACACGCACTCACCCGCCGAACGGGATAATCTCCTGAAATTTGCCGGTGGCCGAGTGACTGACGAGACTAACGAAGCGACGTTCAAGCCGCTTCGCAACTTGAAACACACGGCCTCCCCGCTGCTGCCAGAGGTGGACGTGTATCTCAACCTGCTGGTGCTGCTTCGGGCGCTGGATTCGGGCGACCACGCGCTGGCTGCCGACTGCTCGGACGCCCTCATGGACAAGGTCGTGTCGCTGGACCGGAGGACGTTGGACGCCATCTCGGCCAAGTGCTACTTCTATCATGCACGCTGCTACGAGTTGACCAACAAGTTGGCGACCATTAGAAAGTGCGTCGAGTTGCGACTTTTCATTGCTGACGTCTCAGTTATTTTTTGACAAGACTAGCTTTTTAATATTTTGTGAATACTCTCGGTCAAATTTATTTTGGACCACTTCATTGCAGTCCTCTTGGACGTTGAGCTTTTTGGTTATTTGAGTAGTTTAGTAAGGCGTGGTTAGGTTGGCTGGACTACTTGGGTGAATTCATCAAGTTAGTCGAGTGTTGTACTGAACATGTTTAGTTTGACAACTATTTTTGGTGAAAAAGTTCTTGTTTGTCCGAATTAGGTTAGGTGGGTGTTGGCAAAAAAAATTGGGTTGGGTTGATGAGCTGTTGGTGTATCTTCTGTCGCCGTCAAGACAAGATTTTATTTTATTTTGTGCCGGTCGTATTGTGTTGGGAGACAGATGTGATAAGCAAAAACTACGTCAATTGCACTTGTTATGTTGCAGCTTTCTCCATCGACGGCTGCGGACGTGCACTCTTCGCAACGACTTCGAAGGCCAGGCTGTGTTGCTCAACTGCCTGCTGCGGAATTACTTGAGCCAGTCGTTGTATGACCAGGCGGACAAGCTGGTGAGCAAGTGCCAGTTTCCTCCGAGTGCCTCCAACAACGAGTTGGCCCGCTACATGTACTACCTGGGCCGGATCAAGGCCATCCAGCTGGAATACTCTGCGGCCCAGCGTCATCTCACGCAAGCCCTGCGCAAGGCCCCGCAGCATGCTGCCGTGGGCTTCAAGCAAACGGTTCGTTTTCACGTCTGTACAGTAAATACTCAGGGAATGCAAGTTGGATTCAATTCCGACAGCTTAAAGTTCACCTCTGGTTAGGTAACTTGTCGCCTCTCTGTGGTGTACAACTAAACTGTGAAACCATGTGTAGCATGATTTGATTTTTTTTTTTTTCAAATTTAATATCGTCATTCTTAATATTTTGCAGGTTCAAAAGATGCTCGTCACGGTGGAGCTGCTGCTTGGTGAAATTCCAGATCGACAGACGTTTCGCCAGAATCACATGCGCAAGGCTTTAGGACCGTATTTTGAGCTCACGCTTGGTGGGATACACGCTTATTTTCTTCGAATTCTTTTGATCGGAAATTTTCTTTTTATTTCTCGTAGCCCTCAAGACGGGAAATCTACAGGGTTTTAGTGACACTCTGTCGGCTCACGGAGCCAAGTTCCAGCGCGACGACACTTACACATTAATCGTCCGCCTGCACCGGAACGTGGTGAAGACAGCGATCCGCATGATTGCGAGCGCGTATTCACGAATCCCACTGAGGGACGTGGCCGCCAAACTCATGCTCGACTCGCCGGAGGACGCTGAGTTTGTCGTGGCCAAGGTGAATTGATTCATCTTCCTTTTTCACCCGGGTCAATGGATGGTTTGGGTGGATTTATGTTTTATTTATTTTTTGACCAGGTATTACAGTACTATGTATTAACGTGAAGATTACGTGTATTATGTATTACTGTTTCGGGTTATGTTAGGTAATGATGTGTCATTCATTAACCCTGTTTTAGTTGAAATTGAAATGACTTGTCTTGTGGATTATGATAGCCAGCTTTATTAAGTGGGTGAACTAAAATTGCACTTGGTGAAAATGTGCGAGTCGAGGCTGTTCGTTTTCCGCTATCAGTTTAATTTAAGAAGATAAAGACGCAGCTTTTCCGAAAATTTATCTTTTTGATCGTTATAAATTTCTTGGTGATTTATATAAATTCACGACCTGTTTTTCGCAGGCCATCCGCGACAACGTGATCGAGGCGGTGATCAACCACGACGAGGGCTACGTGCAAAGCAAAGACGTGCAGGATCTCTATTGCACTAAGGAACCGCAGCAGGCCTTCCACCATCGCATCTCTTTCTGCTTGGACATCCATAATCAGTCCGTCAAGGCCCTGCGCTTCCCGCCCAAGTCCTACCATAAGGACCTTGAAGAGAGTGCAGCCGTAAGTCGTCGCCATTCTTTCCTTACGCCAAGGTTTCAACCCATAGAATTTAATGTATTACTGTATTTCTATTCGTTGTAGGAGCGACGAGAACGTGAGCAGCAAGATTTGGAGTATGCCAAGGAACTAGCGGAAGATGACGACGAATATTGAATTCCTTATTCCTCGTTATTTTCGGAGCTGAGCGTCGTCTTGATTCCGCGCGTGTTTGTGTTTGCTTTGTCTCACTGTTTTCGTCTCTTCCCCTGTTCTTGTTTCTGCCTATTTTGTGAATGGATATAATATTGTCCATCCGTTGTACAAAATGGATGGATGACTGGAATGCAGAAACACGCGAGTTGGTTTTTGCCCTGTGGCGGAAAGAAATTTCATGTTCCCGGTTTCGAACCGGAGGGGGATGTGACGGAAGCAAGTATTCACCTTCTTGGGATAGATCGACAAATGTAAGAAAAAGTCGATGCCGTCGTATCATTTTTTATTTTAGTTGTGTTTACTTCTAAACGTTGCTACGCACACATTTTTCAGACAATGCTTTGTGCAGCTCCTCCCTTTGATTGAAGGAAATTATTTCACCATTCGAGGGATACAATATCGTAACTGTTAAGTGACCTGTCGGGTTTGTTTATTTTGATATTGAAAAAGTTTCTCTGGTTTAGGGTTGGGCTAGTCTAAGCAGCGTTAGCTGGGTCGGGGTCCTGGTGGTTGCGGTGGCGGCCTTCGGAAATTATGGGGATTTTGGCCTGAACAGTGTAAACAGGAAATTAACGTTTGCCTCAAATTTGCTTCACTAATGATGAGAGAAGGAGAACAAAGTGTAAGCATTGTCTGGAAGATGAATCTATGCTCTACGACTGGCTGGATGATTCTTCTGACACGATTCATCGAAAAAACTGTCGCACATGAATATGGTGGTATTGATTATTTTCGTTTTTCACACGCGAAAGCTGCACGTGTCATACAGAGTGAGAGAAACTCGGAATGGCAGCGAGTTTGTTGTCGCGCAGCAGTGGGCGTGTGGTGTCGCTGGGCGGGCGGCGGCACGTAAGTACCACGGCGTCCGTGTCCTCCGCTGTCAGTAAAATTGGCAGCCGCGAGGTTGTGGGCCACGGCTTCAACGGCGAGGCCAGCTACATGGACCGCGCCGACTACCCGTTCCCGGCTGTCCGGTTCCGAGAACCAAGCGCCGAGTTCAAGGTTTGACTTCTACCCTGTTACAGTATTTCTACATGTATGCGAAAATTCAAGGGGGGTGATGATGATCATTGGCGCAGGCTTTGTTGGCGAAGGAGAAGGGCGACTGGAAGAATTTGAGTGTGGAAGAGAAAAAGGCGCTGTACAGGTTCTCGTTCTGCCAGACCATCGCCGAGCTGAAGGCGCCAACCGGGGAGTGGAAGTTCTGCATAGGATTTGGGCTGTTCCTCAGCAGCTTCGCCATTTGGATCTACATCTGGATGAAAAGATGCGGTGCGTTGCTTAGACTCGTGTCATATCAAACAAAGCCACCGTACATTATAACGAGCACATCGTTTTTTTTAGCCACTCAAGCTGAATAACCTTTTGTTTTTGTTTTTTGCCAGATTTTTACTTTTTTACTTGCTCCACCCTATTCATGAACAATGAATTACGCAAATCTGATGTGGCGATACATGATTTCCGTAAACTGAATACATTGCCAATAAAGGCTTCCTCTCATTTCCTGTCGAGTGGCAAGGAATGCATTGTATTGACTGCCAAATATCTTCAGGTAAAAAATAACACAATAAATGTTGTATTAGTTTTTTTAAAAGCCTTTTTTATTTTCTTTGCGTTATGACTTACATTAATCATCATTTAACCACCGTGTGCACGAGCATTCAGCAGGACAAATTGGATACTGTATACTTTTTTTTCTTTTTTTTTAAATGAAAATGAGTGCGTTTCGTATTAATCGACATTCTTCCCTAACTTATATTTCTGTGCTTCTCTTGTGCCTTGCAGTGTACTCACCCATGCCGGAGTCGACGACGTTGGAGAACAAGCAGGCCCAACTGCGCCGTATGATCGACATGCGCATCGACCCGATCGACGGCGTGTCTTCGCGCTGGGACTACGAGAACGACCGCTGGAAGTCTTCTTGAACGGTTTCTTTTCTCTGTCGTGCGAGTGGAACGCAAGCCATTTATCGATCCCTGCATGAGTGCAGTTGTTAGTGTACGATATTGCGGCACGAACCTCGTTGGCACATGATGATCGTGTGAAATGTATAGTTGGTGAAACATTGGATGGAAATGCGTAGGACGTGTCCTTTTATTTTCTGATAATTATCTCGAGATGCAATTACGCGTCTCTCTTCCCTCACCAGTTACCTGTGTCGGGGGTTGATTTTTTCATGCTAGATGCATCTTTTGCAGAACTTCGCAGGTTTATTGGGATGAGGAGAAGGTGAATTCAGTACAATACTAAACTATACACTGCTGAAAGATGGCCGGTGTTCTGGTTGGCGGTGTTGAAGGGTGAGTGGCGTGGAACGGAGGGAACCGCCTGAAATCAGATTCAGTTTGCTTTACCCGTGTTGCATCTGTGGAACACTTGAACATTTTGAGAATTAATCCCTGAATCAGGTTTTTTTTTTTTTAGCAGAATTTCAAGATAAGAACACCACTTCCCCAGAAAATTGTATGATAAACCCGAACGTGCGACTTCAAAGAAGCAGAAATTAATGAGTTTAAAAATGTGGGAAGTTCTACTCGCTATGTTGATTTGTGCACCCATTTCTGTTGACAGGGGTGCAATGCATGTGGAGGTAGTGGTTTGCCGAGCGTCGGACGGCTGCATCCTCGTCCACAGGCAGCGAGACGTGCTGCGGAATTCGCTGGTAAGAGAGAGGGGGAAAAAAGAAGCAGCATAGGGAAATCCTTTGCATGTACGACCTGGGGTGACGTGACGTCGGAGTTCCGTAATGATCCTAAAAGGAAGTGTCGTTGGAGGAGTACTTGGGCCATGTGGCGGCCGTCGTGGAGAGCGCAGTGAACGCCGTGAAGCCTGGAGCGAGACTCGCTTGTCTGGTGAGAGTATTGTATTACGCTTTGCACGTGTGATGTTGTGTGAGCAGCGTCGAATAAATTCTGTGACGGCGTTCTTTTTTTTTTCCTAGGGTCTGGCGCTGTCCGGCGTCGACTGTCCGGATCGGAAGGCGGCAGCCGTCGCCGCGTGTCGCGAGAGACTCGACCGACTCACGGACTGGCTCTGCGTCGACAACGACACCTACGGGGCCGTGTTTGCCGGGTCTCAGCAATGCGGTGAGTGACCGTTTATTTTCCTTCGTCTCATGTTCGACTACAATGTACTGAACTGTATACTCTAAAATAATGCGATGGTGCCTCAGAAAACCAACATACGTAGTTTTAAATTGTTATTTAATTCGTTTTTTTTACGCATTATTCGAAGCCACAAATGAACTTCCATCCCAAAGTAAGAGCATTGCAAATTTTTTTACACCTGCGTGTTGCTGAAGTTGAAATGATTTTGCTCTTGTAGTTTGTCTCTTTAAAATTGCACGCAAAACGATAACTTTGTGTATGCTATTCATTATGAAGTAACAACGCATTTTCAGCGTTCCGTAGTTCTGAAATGAAAGAAAGTGTCGTTTGGCAGCTCCAAAAAAATAGTGTTATCCCCTTATTTTTCACGTGGGTTGCTTCTTGCTGTATACGTTACAGATGCAAGAGATTTTTTTTAGACTGAAATAAATAAATACGTGTTTTTTTTTCTTGTTGCTTAGATGGCGGAATGGCGCTGATTGCAGGAACTGGCTCTAATTCCCTGCTGGTGAATCCGAACGGAGAATCTCACCAATGTGGCGGTTGGGGCCAATTCCTGGGGGACGAAGGCTCAGGTGCGTGTTCGTCTTCAAACCAGTTTACTATCTTGGCTCTGTTTTATCTCCTGCTATCTGTAATTCTGTCATTTCTCGATACGAAGAAACACGAAGAAAGAAGGGGAAAACTTGACTTGTTGGAAGCGTGAAAATATTGTACATTATGCGGAGAAAAGAATAAGGTATCAGCGGCTTCCCTTTTGAGAACTCGATCAACTTGAAAAAAGGATTCTCATTTATTGCCAAAAAATTTTCTTTTTTAAGCGAAGCAATAATGATTAATTATCTGAACAATTTAATTGTACTGTATATGGTACAGGTAGTTGTGCAGGTATACAGTACTCAAATTGCTGGCATTTTCAGTGGGCTTTCCTCGTCCACGCCCACCAATGACGTACACATGGTGTACAACCAATACATGATCTCTCGTGCAGGTTTCTACGTGGGACAAAAGGCTGTAAAAACGTGTGTGGATGACTTGGATTGCGGCTATCGCATCTCCCCGTTCCCCGTGGATCGCGTCTGGGCACTGATAAAGCGTCAGTGGGGGATTCAAACGTTGTAAGCCGGGTCGCATTTCCTCTCCTTATTTACGGTATTTCCGCAAATGAAAATGGAAGTCCAACTTTTCGTTCTCGGGTGCAAAATGAGATACTGTATATAACGCCCTATACAGTGAAGTGGAAGTACATGTACAAATCTGGGCACAGTAAGTACTGGACATCGCGAAGCAATTAAAGGTTCGTTCCTTTAAAAATAGAAATGATGTGAGGAGACTTTACGCAGAGCGCAGCGAGTTGGCCAGCTTGACTAAGCGGAAAGTGGCCAGTCTGTGCGCCCCAATCGCCCACCTGGCCCAATGCGACAATGACGAATTGGCCCGTTGGCTCCTGGCAGATGCTGGTGCTCAGTTGGGCAAGCACATTGTGCGACTTGCTCCGTTGGCGGATGAAGTACGAATACTACTGAATATGATCAACAAGAAAAATTGCAATGTTGCTCTCTGTGCAATATGTGATAGCTCTCTGTGCAATTTCAAGTAGACCTTGAACTCGAAAAGTACATTAAAATGGGATCTTAAAATGGCTTGTGTTAAATTTTAGCTTTGTTTTTTTTTTTTTGTAGGTATTCAAGTCTTCTGAAAGACTTGAAATTTACCGGCTTTTTTTTCATGCATTGTGTTCAGGATCTTAGGGAGCCGGGCGTCGGACTGAGGGTGGTGTGCGTGGGTGGTCTGTTTGACTCGTACAGCTTACTGGAGTCGGGTCTGGTGCGGGAATTGAAGGCAAGCAGTGAGTGACCTTGTTATTTATTGTAATTTTATTTATTCTTTGCTGCGTCTTTGTGTGACTGCAAACAAGAAAGAGGGTACGTTGACAAGTTTTGCTAGTGTTGTTTAACTCCCCTTTTGTCAAGATGATTTTCGATAGATAAATTATTTTCGTGTGGTGAATTTTCAGTCCACACCGCTTCATTTCTCCCAATTTTTTCCGTTGAATACTTTTTCAAGATTTAGGAGTTCGCGGGAGTCGATAAAGAATACTTCAAACAGCTGTGTGATTTGGTTCATTGATGGCTCATGGCATACTTTTTTTCTACCAAAGGCTGAAAAAAAGTTGAGCCCTTCCCACAAATTCTCTACACTGTCGATGATTCCACGCCTTTTCTTGTGCGCAGGTGGACAAGGTGTGGGCCAGGTGACGCTGGTGAGACCCGGCGTACCCTGTGCCGTGGGTATTGCCCGGGTTGCAGCAAACAGATGTGGACTCTCAACAATTAAGTGGGATCTCGTGTCGAAGCAGAGTTGCTTGCTTCGTTTCCCGAAAGACTAATTGACTGATCAAGTACCTTCCGTGAAACTTCTCAACTTTTTCCTGTTTGATCGGAGAAATGAAAATGAGAAGAATCTGTCGGTAGAATGATGACAACTACAGTACAATACAATACTCTGTCCTTTGGATGTCATTTCTTCCGACTCTGAAACACTCGCGTAAACGGGAAAACGTGTAGCATAATTCATGCAATTAATGTTCTTTGTCGAACTTGTCAATACCGGTCGAAATTTATTGGAAAATAAAGTTCCAAATGGGGATGTATAGCCTTAAGAAAATGCCGGACAAAAACCGCTGGAGGAAATGGAAGAATGACGAAATCCGTCATTTTTTTCCATCGTACATTAGTTGAAGCGTGAGTTGTGAATTGAAGTTCTACTTTTTTCAATGCAATTTTTTGACCCGAACAGACTCCATAAACAAGAAAAGAATTTAGCTGTTAGAGCAGAAGCCTCTTTATTCCAGACAAGTAGAAAAGAAAGAAATAAGAACGAGACCGAGTACAGTTTTCTAGTCACGCTTGGAATGTCGTAAAGCATTACCTGAATCGTCAGCAATTTGTTTGAAAATGCAATCTTGAGATTTATCGTTACTTCGAACGTCATTCACCCATTCTCACCGGTCCACGGGGTATCCTCATTCCACATGAGTCTGTTCGAATTTCTCACCTTGTGACCCATTTCTTGCATTTTGAGTACAGTACATAACAGTATAGGGACTCCGAAAGAAAGGCGTGGATTTCGAATTCAGTGTATCGGTGCAGCTCGGCATTGTGGTGTATTGCGAAGAGCATGGCAGCGTTTGTCGCAGGAGTTGAAGGGTGAGTGAGATGTTTCCTCGAGAGTATCGAGTACCGTACATGTATTTTACTTCTGCATTTCTGACGTTGAAATTAATTAATTATCCATCATCAGAGGGGGTACCAACACGTGCGTGATGATTTACGACGCGGAGGCGCGACTACTGGCGGAGATGCGTTCGGCCGACACGTCCAACTTGTATGCGAGTATCAGCGAGAGAAACGAACCAGTTGATTTTAAAACCTGTATCGATGGTATTTGCGCAAGAAGAGGATTGAGTGTTGCTTGACGTTTACTTAAAAAAAAAAAAAAAAAGGATTCCGAAGTAATCTTATGCTTAACTTCAAAGATAAGTGGGCGAGGCTTCCAATTTTTTGAGTGCATATCGCAAAGCAAGGCCTCGTAAATTTATTTGTGGAAAATTCAAGGACGAGCAGTAAATACGGAGGGGGAGGTCGTGGTGTCAGAGACAGAAAAGATCACTGCTCTTTTAAAATATGCGAGTTTCATTATTTTTGAAAAGAAAAAATAAATGTTGGCAGGAGGTTGGCGTGGACGGCGTCGTGAAGGTGGTGGGTGCGTTGCTCCGAGATGGACTCGCTTCGGCGGGTTGCGGAGACGCCAAGCTTGCCGTTGTTGTGAGTACCGTACATTTTATACAGTCTCGCAGATGAACGTTAACTTGAATTCGAAGTCATCTACATTTTATAGTACTGTACGGTACAGTACCGTATTTTTATAATTGTTCTCGTTGTGTCGGGGTGTCTGTAGGGCATGGCCATGTCCGGAGTGGAAGAAGAGAAAGCCCAGAAGGAGTTGACAAATGCGTTCAAGGCCTCCTCGTTCGGCCCCATGGCGAATGACATCTACGTGGACAACGATACCGTGGGCTCGCTGTATGCAGCATTTCCTGACGGTGCGGAGGCCAAGAAAATTTCCTATTTGTCTCGATAAATAGATTCCTCTTTTTAAATATAATATATATTTTTCAATTCGGTTTATTGGTTGGCTGCTTGCAGGAGGAGTTGCTTTGATTGCGGGCACGGGTTCCAACAGCCTGCTTGTGAATCCGGACGGATCAAGTTTCCAGTGTGGCGGCTGGGGCTGGCGTCTCGGCGACGAGGGCTCGGGTGCGATTTGAATTTTTAAAAACTATATTTCATTGCAGTATTGGAAATTTCTTCTTGAGAAAAGCAGTCACTGATGTACTTCAACTACGTTGGAGATCTTACAGTTCTTACAGTTACAGTTTTCTTTTGCTTCTTTAAGATACCTTCGGTTTGCACGTAATATATTTCAACATACTGCGATGGACATCAGTTGTTCGAGTGGACGTTGTTCAATAATTCAGCTGATGGATTAATTCACTGCTTAAACTCTTGCCCTTGTAATTATTTTCAAGCCATTTATGAACATTTGAGAGGGAGTTGGCGTGTCTCTCAAATACTGTTTAATAAAGAGATTATTATTGGGTAGAGGTCATGAACGTGGGTTTCCGAAACTCGTAAAAACGGGTATAAACTTGGGCTAGGCCTTCTGTGATTTGCTGTAAACATTGATTTCGACGAGGACTGTACTTCGGGTCTCGGAAAGGTTGATTGATCCCTGCATTTGTTAAAATAGTCCTTTCTGTCTGTGACCGTTGTTGCACACCCCGGAAATGATGATCATTTCGGCTTGTACAGGGTATTCAGTGGGCTACGCGGCCGTCAAACGGTGCCTGGGCCACTTGGACCAGGGCTTCGAAGAAAGTCCTTATCCCGTGGAGGCCACGTGGAATGCCGTCAAGACGAAGCTTGGAATTGAGTGCCTGTGAGTCGTGGGGCCCAATGTGTCGTGCACTCGCGCTGGAAATGAATCGAATCGAGTCGTGGGCCTCATTTTTAGGAAGGACCTCATCACTTACTTCTACGGGCCAGACTTCAAGAAGGCGACTGTGGCCGGAATTTGCGAGGTCGTGTGTCGATTGGCACGTGAAGACGGCGACGAGCTCTGCAAGGCCATCATGTCCGACTGCGGCTTCAATATTGGACGGCACGTGAGAGCGCTGGCCAGCAAGGTCGACCCGGTAAGACAACCGGCTGACCTCCCTTGGATGCCACAGAGATTGTTGTGCATCGTCGCGTCTAAAAAGAAATTGTCAAGGGGGGGGGGGAGAAACACTGGATCCATCTAATTCAACGGCACGTCATAGTTTTTGGAATATCATGCAGGTCTTACTCGAATAGTCGGCTGTGCGAAAAGCGATCCAATTCCTGCCTGAACTGGCCTAATTTTTTTTTACCCTATCGTAGCCCAAACCAAAATAACATGTCGTTACCCAACGTTAAATTCTTCGAATAAATTTATTCTTAACAGAGCCATCAAACTCGGGGCGACTCGCATACATTTTGGCGATGAAAACTACGGACTTGTACGGGTTGGCTCTCCGAATATCGAGAACTAAAAATGATTGAATGTTGATTATTTCCGGCATTCTGGTGTGGTGCTGTTTACAGAGCTTGTTGAAAGGTGCAGGCGGACTAGGGATACTTTGTGTTGGCAGCGTGTTCAAGTCGTTTGATTTACTCAAAGGCGGATTTCTGAGGGCACTTGGCTGTGATGGTTAGTATAATTCTCAATTTATTCGTTTCTTGTTCACTCATTTATTTTTACGAATCGTCATGTTTTCTCCCGCAGGACAAGGGGACACACCCGTGTTGTCCGAGTGGACGTTGTACACTCTGCGACAATCGGCAGCTGGTGGAATTGCGTATTTGGCGGCAAAAAAGGCGGGTTTGCGTTTCCCCTACGATTTTGACTCTGCCAAGACCGTCTTGTATCATCACAGAGGAGCCTGAATGATTGATTCGTGCCCTTGATATTTGATCGCTTCTGTATTTGTCTCTTTTTCCCCCTTTTGGAAAGAGTATTTATTTTTCTAAATCTGTATTCCTCGAAATCGTGACGAGTCCACGGCGAGTTGTTGTTATTCTCGGAGTGCGCAGCTGGGTTGACTGTTCGCGAACAATCGTAGATCGAGTAAAGCATTACGGTTATAGACGCGGTATGGGTGTAATGACTTCCATATTGCCCCAAGCCCCTGCAGATGTACTGCATGACACGAGCTACTTTTCGCAGCAGGTAGTTGGTATCTCAATGCACTTCATGGGATTACTTATGACGCTGCATTGACCATCCGTCGCCTCTCTTCCATGCCTAAACATTTACCAAAAGGACACATTTCGTTTCAATTTTTCGTCTAAGCTTACTGGTATACTTGACTTTCCTTCATTCTACGGCATGTACATGGCTGATGCACTTAAATTATCCCAATCGGTTGTAACATCGTTGACACGCATGTAAGGGACCGCCACGCGCACGCGAACGTCGTGTACGAAACCAACCAGTTTTGCTTAAAAATAAAACTAATAATAACTTCGCGAAAAACTATAAAGACAGGAAATCAAGAAACAAGAATTCATCAATGGGAAATACTGCGCTGTTCCCGGCGGATTGTGTGTTTTTCTTCAATTCTCTTAACATATCTTTTTTGATCTTTGTGATTTATCCATCACAACGCACGTGAGAACACAACAAGCAGCCGGTAGTCTGCAGATTTTTGGGTGCAATATGGAAGTGGTACAGCCTTTTTTACGCTTCACGTTTTCATGATGTCGTTTGGATCACATTCTGCAGACAATTTATCAGTGGTTTTTCTGTTTTGTGGTGAGCATGGAGTGACCAGGAATAGTGGGAATGGACGGAGCCGAGATCTCAAGTGAGTGCGATTAAGTAATGGATTTGATTTAGCACAGTTGCTAACCTTGCTACGGATGGCTTCGTTCCAACTGGGCTTTTTTTTTGCGACAATTTTCGGCAGGGTTGTGAAGCTCATCCTGGCCTGTTGAGGATTTTTTCATGCGATATAAACGTTGTTTCTAATTCATGTATTCCTCTCTGACCTTGTTGAGGATGGAATGTTAAATTGGGGAGGTTTTGCTCCGAAGTTCGCGACTCTGGATGACTAGATAATCGCAAATACAGAATGTATATACAGTACATTATTTTTCTATAACTGCGTTGAACGAGCAATAGTCATGATATGAAAACCCGTCAGCAAGCAGTCTATTGTTGTGAATAGGAGATCGGACTGTACTCTATAGTACAGTATTTCTATTGCAACAGCACATCCTGGCAGAAAAACGTAGCTGTCTCATGATTCAAACGTCTGTAGTGGAGCAAATGAGTCGTTATCAGTAATGCTATATGAGCACCACTTTATAAGACTCATTCCAGATGTACGAGTGACATCTACCTACAAAGGAAGGAAAATGCGAATCGACCGATGTATCAAAATTAACTGCTTGGAATTAGCGACAAGGAAAAAAAATAGAAAGAATGTGTGCTCCGAGAGGGACATCCTAAAATCATAATCGATCAGGAATCAGCCAAATGTATTTCTCTGAAAACTCTTTTGCCAGTGTCGCACTGTATTCTTCGTAATTTCTCAGAAGACGACGAAACAGCAGGCGTCGTGCCCTTGAGCGAGCTCGTAGTCCGCCTCGGGCCATTGCTCACGAGCAAGGATGTAGAGGAACGGTTGCGCGGGTACTGGCGCCTCATCGCCGCCGTCGAGGCCAGCTGCACTGGCCCAAATGAACCCGCGCTGTCCTCCGAAGAAGTCCGTCACGTGGCCCAGTTTGTCGAATGCCGGTTGCGTGACCACAGTGCGCTGATGGCGCCGACGTTGCGCGGGATCCTGGCCGTGCTGCGCCAGCCTGCAGCCGCCGACGACAGTGTCGAGCGTCTGCTGCAGGGCCTGTTCCAGGAGGGCAACTGCCAAGCGTGTCCGCTGGCAGACAGGCTCGTGTACTACCGCGTATTCGCCGTGGCGCTGGCTCGGTTTCCGGGCGTCGTGTCGCGGTTGGGCTCCGCTTTCGCGCTGGCCGTCGTTCAGGCCATGGACGGCGAGAGAGACCCACGCGGGCTCGCGGCGGCGTTTCCGCTGCATGCCCGCGTCGTCAGCCAGCTGGGCACTGCTGCCAGTCCGCTGTACGAGGACCTTTTCGAGGTCGTGGCCTGCTACTTTCCGATTGACTTCACGCCGACATCGGTGAGAGAGCAGCGAAGAAGAAAAGCCCCCTTTTATTCATTGCTTGTGTTTGCATTTCCGCATGTGTAGGATGACGATAAGGGGCAAGTGAGTCGGGAAGAGTTGTCGGAGGCGCTGCGGAAGTGTCTGTCGGCGACGCCGGCATTTGCGCCTTACTGCATTCCGCTTGTGCAGGAAAAGCTGGACTCGACGCCATTGTCGACCAAGATGGATACCGTGTCGCTGCTGGTGATTTTGATTGATTGTGCTGCGCCGTATTTTTTATTTTATTTTTTTTTGAATTCTGATTTGAGCTGCTATTTCTTTTCTATTCATTCCTTATTTTTCAAATTTCCCTATTTTACGTGTGTATGTGGTGTCTGCAGTACGCGTGTCTGGATGGTGTGTACGGGAATGCCGAGTTGCAGAGCGTGGAGTGTGCACGTGGCCTGTTCTGCACGCTGCGAGACGAGGCCCTGGGAAAGGCGGACGTGAACCTGAGCAGCGCTGCAGTGCTGTGCATAGGTAAGCTGTTTGCAGCTGCCGAAACGCCGCCCATCGTGCATCCCTGCGACGGTCTGCTGGACGATGCCTTCAGAGGTCAGTTGGCTTGGATTTCTTGTATAATTTTCACTGTATACTGTTCCTATGCATTGGATATTGCCTCCTTTTTAATACTGGGCCACTCTGAATTCGCAATGTAATTAATCAAATATTTGCTGTTTCTAACTGTATAAAAAAAACGTTTTTAATGATGGAAGAAGGGGGACAATGTGATCAGCAATGGCGTGCAGTTGTTTCTCTTCACTTCAAAATTACCCCCGGAATGGTTGACAGAAACAGTCCAGCTCATACTGCAAATTCATACTGTGTGTGGAGTTGGACCCACAGCATATCAAAGGAAAAGTAGGGCTAATCATGTGGTAATATTTTTCCAATAACGGGATGTTTGGTTGTACGCAGGTAACAAAACGAAACGACGAATTTTTCGCTGGAAGGTACTGCTGTATAGTATATTTTGGTAATTTGATTTTTTACAGAGTGACGCAGTAGTCATCTGAATGTTGGGGAAATACAGTGTATGATTGAGAGAAAAAAAATGCACCCTTGTTTTTCTCGTTGAACGCTGCAGAGTGGATGCGAGCAGTGAGTGGCGATGCTATGACGCAGGACCGGTTAGCCGCGGCCAACGCCGTGTGGATTTCCGCCTTGAGAAATTCCAAGACCACCGCCCAGCGACTCGGCATCGAGGTACGATGAGAGGCTACAACTCATCATCGAACACTTTAGAAATGACTTTTTTTTTCGTGCTGTATCGTGATTAATTTTCTAGACGTTCAATTGTTTGGTGGCCGAGCTGAATCGCACGGCGGACGCGGAACCGCGGGACATTCTACCGCGACTGGCGTGCGCCAAGGACTTGTTCCACGTCCTCGAGCTTTCGGGATTGAAGGGTAAGTGGTGGTACATTGCTGTACTGTAATTTGTTCGTCATGTAAACATTTATTTTGGGTATTTTCAGCTAAACTTTTTAAAGTCAGTTCTATTTTGAAAATCTCAAGTGCAGGATGAATATTTTCGTTGATTTTGCGCATGAGAAATTTGCATCCCTTCTGTCTAGTTTCCTTACGTCATGCGTGGAAATCAAACTTCTCTGTTGAGTGGGTAGGTATCTCCGGTAGTCACAATTACATTTTCTGCACGACATTAAGTATGTTTTAATCCTACAGTGCGTCATCCAAAGTTGTGTTTAGTTCTGGGTCTTTTCTACATGTGTACGATGTGAAGTACAGTACCGTACATTTCTTCTTCAGGAAAGAGCTTACATTTTATATCATCTGGACATCATATTTTTTTATGCTGAGGAATTTTCAGTTCTGTTCCTTCGGGATTATTTTTTTTTCAACTTCCTTTGAATCTGAAAATTCCATAAGAATAATCTAACGAAGGTTGTTCAAACTGACGTATTCCTAACCCATCTGACCTGACCCAATCCACCCCGACCTAATAAAAAATAACCTAACGTAAATGATGAGAATGTAGAACTCAATTCACTAGAAAATCCACTTGGGTTTTTTTTTTTTTTACGAGAAAGGGAACTCTGCCCGTAGTTGTTGAGAAGGGTACCTGTGGAACATATATGGACGACAGTAGCGAAGTGAAACGCTTTACAATAAAAAAAGAGAGAGAGAGAAGGGCAGACGCATTTTGTACTTGATTATTTATCAGACTCGGATGCCCGAGAGCGGTGCTTCGTGACACTCATGAAGCTGTCGGTGGACGCGAGTGCCGAGGTGCGAAGCGAGGTGTTCCACACACTCGGCGCCTTCCTGCCGCTCTGTTCCGACTCGGAAGCCGATTTGGTGGTGAGCTACGTGGGTGCGGCAGCCGTGACGGAGACGGACGCCGTTGCTTTGTGAGTTTTATTGCATGTGCTCTTCCGATGGGGAAGAGGGAAAAAATGTATCCCGCTTTCTTTTATTTCCTCGCTCGCTCTCTCTCTTAAAAAAAATAAAATAGGGATGGCATCACGGACTGCGTTTCTTGTCTGGCCCAACTGGACCGATCAACTGCTGGACAGACCGAGGACAATAAGGGCACGGGTCCTGGGCGCGTGTTGAATCTCTGCCGGCGGATCCTGCATGCCATCAACAAGGAGCTGGAGAAGCGGGCTGGTTTGTTTTTGCTGTTTCTTTTGTGCTCATCCCCGAATCGTTTCAATTTCTTAAACACACGGTCTTCCTACAACAAAAAGAAACAAGGCACAAAAACATTTCGTTGACGACGCAGAATTCCACTTTCACCGATGCCTCATTTTTTTTCCTCCGGAAGACCCATATTGTAGATGTCGCTTTCATGGGACCAGAATTTATTTTTTGCTTTGTGGGGAACATTCGTGGCAAGAAAAACATTCTGTCGAGTGAGGGAATGCCGCGTGAACGTCAAAATTTTTTTGTCCACATTAGAAGGAATTTCGCCGTTTTTTAATCTGTCCAATGATTCAGGCAGCATGCTACCTTGCATTCCAGCAGTCATTATAGGGTAAAGTGATGATTAATCCGTGCATTTCTCGTCAAGTTCCTGCAGTGATGAAATTTAGATGGTCTATGTTCAGCGTTCTCCGCGAACTTCAAAACATTTATTTCTCAGCAATGTCAAGCTTATTTTTTTTCTATTTTTGATCGGAAGTGAAAGCTATGCTGGTTCTCTTGAAATGACGTTTTCCTTCAATTTTATTTCGATTGATTTAATTTTCGGCAAGGCTCTCCGTAATTTTTTTGTGAGATTCATCAGTTTTCCTCTTCTATTTTGATTTATCCGTATTGGTGTAATCATGTTGAAATACTCTCTCCCGTGTGCGACTGAAAAAGTTGTTGCTTTACCTAGTTTTTTTTTTTTTGATGCAGCGTCGTCGACGAGAACCGCAGCAGAGGAGGAGGAGGAGTTGCCGGTGGGCAAGGAATGTCTGTGGGCCGTGGGCCAGGACGCGGCCAGCTACCGGCTGGCCACAGACACGCTGCTGGAGGCCATGCACAATTGGGCTCAAGCAGGAACGGCAGAGACGGTGGCAGTAGCCGCTGGGCTGCTGCGTCGCCTGTGGGAGCGATCGTCGCCGAACCAGCCGCCGCCTGACGCCCTTCCGCGCCTCGTGGCCTTTGCCAGTGACAATGCGGCCACGTTGGCGAGGAGCGACCGTCTTTGCGAGGAGCTCCGACTGATTGTAGAGGTCATTCTTGCTTCCGGGTCCTGCGACGAGTGAGTGATTATAGGAAGTACGGTATGTACTGTACATTACTGTATAAAAACAATGTTGTCTGCTGAACTGTTTGCTGCAGGTTGCCTTTTGCTAATGCTTGTCTTTGTGTTTTTCCGTTCCTTTCTAAACAACCAGCATTGGCTTTCATGTCTCTTTATTTTCAGGCAAACCCGTGATGGGATGATGCGTGCGCTCGTTGACCGTCTCCTCGCGGGACGCACCGATGCACACGACCGTGGTTTATCGGACGAGCAGCTCTTGCTTCCTCCGTCTTCCTTCGCCGGGCTGGTACAGTATAAGCAATTTCTTATTTTTTCCTATTTGTCTTTTTGCCCCTTGCTCAACTTGACCCATTCTTTGCCCGCAGGCACGGGTTCTGGAGGCCTTCCTTGCCTGCGTGAAGGACGATGCACAACAGCTTATTATTATGACTCGCGTGACGGACGTCTTGTTGGATGAAGACGGGATGTCGTTGACGGAGTTTCAGACCGAGTCTTGCTGCCGGCTCTTGGCGGGCTTGGCTAATCGTCTGGATCAGAGTGAGCAAAACATACATTTTTTGATTTTTTTTTTCTCCAAAATTTAACCTCCTGTGAATTTTTGAGTGACTACCCTAATAACAAACCTTTGATCAGTTTCTTTCAGAGAAAGATGCATTTATGACCGGTTTTTTTTCTCTGCTCTTGGAAGCAAAGTAGCCTGTTAGAACGAACTACTTGAAGGAATGCAAGGTACTCGACACCAGAATTGCAAAAAATTGAACGGTTTTGGGAACTACGAGTGTTGGTGCTAAACAAAATTTGAAATAAAAATCGACCAACGCACCTCGTGTGAAAATAGCGATTTTTATGATCACTTTTGTTTGCTAGACTCGTTGGACGATGTGATCACCCGAGCTTGTGAGACAGTTGAAACCGTGAGGGAACGTCGTTTCCTCACATGGTGTTGGCTGGCCTGGAGTGTGGGCCACAGGAACCATCATGAAGCGTTCAAGTGCCTGCTAGACAGAGTGAGTTGAGATCTTTGTTCTTGGACTATTGACCGACGCCCACGTCATCAATGAAGTCTAAATCACTCACTACCCATTCTTGGTGATATTGATGCTTAATTTCACCTTCTATCTTTCTTTCTTCTTTTTTTTTTTTTTTGCAGGTGCTGAAGACAGTGAGCAGCAGCGGGTCCGTGTCGCCGGTCTGCGTGCGGAAGGGTTTTGCAGTGTTGTTCCGGGAAGTGACGGAAGGGCCATTGCGGCCCAGCACCGGGGCCAGTGTCAAGTGAGTCAGGTCAAGTGAAGGCCAGTTTGTGCAGGATCCGTTATTGAGAGAGACAGAGCAGAGAGGGTGTGAGTATGTTCCGTTTGGTTTTCCTCTCGATTCTAGCCCCCTTCTGAGGCAAAAGACCCTGTACGCGGTACTGCCAGAATTGCTGGCCAGCTTGCGACGGAGCCAACCAGAGGCAGAAACGGCAGCAGCAGCCCTTGTGTCCATCTTGGACGTGTTGCCCGTGGAGGTTTTACGAGGTTGCCAGGACCAGGTAGAGTAAACATGATCTATTCCACTGTAGTATGTTGGGGAGTGTCACGTCGCTTGTTGAAATGAAGATACTGTACTGTACCGTATTTTATCCACCCATGTGCATCAATGTTCAATTATTGTCCCCATCATGTTGTACGCAGGTGATCCCGTCAGTCGTGCTGTCCCTGCAGGCCCTGCAGCCCCTGGGCATGGTGAGCAGCCTACAGTGCCTGGCCCGCCTCCTGCGCGAATCGGACTCACTCAAAGCCGTCATGGGCCACGTGGACACGCTCGTGCCGCGTCTGCTGTCCTTTGCCCGCTTTGAAGGCAGCATGGTTAGTTGGTGCATTTACACTACATTAGGGATATATATCTACACAGGATATATCCATCAATTTATTGATGTTGATTATTATTATTATCATTATGTTATGTTGATAATCATCAGCAAGTACGGATGCGGGCCTTGGAGTGCCTCCAGCTGCTGGCCGACGGACCCGAAGTCAAAGTGTTGCCGCTCAAGCCGCGCGTGTTGCGAGACCTGAAGCCGTCGTTGGGCGACCGAAAGCGGCTCGTGAGGAAGGCGGCCGCGGACGCCAGTTGCGCCTGGAGTCTCCTGGGCGAACTCTGATTTGAGTTGTACCGTCCGCCACGCTCTGTTTTATTCTTGCCGGCATTTTTTTTTCTTTCTTTATTATCTCGTCGTCATATATCTGTCTGTCATCTCTTACTTGACTCAAGTAAGCAATTTTGTAGACAGTACAGTACAGTACAGTACTGAAAAATGCAGTACAGTATAGAGTACAGTACACTATAGGTCAGGGCTTTTCGACTTTTTTTTATAGACTACTGTGCCACTTATTGTGAGGCACAATTAGCGGCAGTCGGTGTTCACCTATGATGTATGCCACATACTCAGGGTCTGCGTGTATACCTTTGCATGGAGGGTGGGCCTTCCATGCTGACAAATCATGGAGAGACGAGAAAGCCATATATCAATAGTAATCTCACACTCCTATACTGCTGCATTTTGTGCATCATTCCGCGTACCTCATCAATAACGAGTGCTGTCAAGTGTCCCAACATCAGTTGAAAAGCCCTGTCCTATTCGTGTACGGTCTCGTCATCTTTGCTGCTGCTGCTGATGTGTCGACGCCGATTGAGGCGGGAACAAGCAATTATATGGGTGAAGAATAAAGACTCGTGAGTGAGTGCATGACGGAAGTCCTGATTCTTCGTCAATTTCTTTTTTCAGCAATGGTCATCTCTGAGGAATTCCTTGCACCGGACGCTATGGTTACCAAACTTATTTGCAAAGAGAATTTCTGAAAATTCAATTGAAGAGATGATTTGAAGAAGAAGAGAGGTTTCTGGAGCATCATGAAAGAATAAGTACAAAAGCATGCCTGAGAAAAGTGACTACTTTTTTGCTTTCTTATGAATCTTGGATGGAATGTGTTGAATTCAGTATGTAGAAGTAGAATGACTCACTCTGTCGTCTCTACAGTACTGGAGTGAATCTTGATAGATTAAAAAAAAAAACCTCTTTAGCACCGTCAGCACGAAACGAAAGCTTTCGCTTGATGAAAAGAATTCATGTTGCCCTAATGAGATCGTGGTTTTCCTGTGCATGGAAACCTCTAAAAATAATTTTCCTAAAGAATACTATACTTGCGCTAAATTAGCTACTGTATAGTTGCATTACCATATACTGTACAGTGTTATAGAGTAGTTCAAAGTTGAAATGAACTTATCCAAATGAGCTGTAATATCTGCTCTTGTTATTCTTTTAATCTTTACTTGTTAACTGCTGTACAGTGGAGTCTGTAAATAAAAGCCTTTGATCCTTCTCAAATATCCAGTCAAGTTCTGTAAAGATCACGTTAACCACTGATCACCCATTTGTTTTTTTTTTGCCCTCATCTTTATCTTTGTATATATATATATATGAAACTACTTCATTTAGTGGTGCACTGTGCTGTTATAGTTGGAGTTGGACATAAGCCAAATGCCAAAATCTTTTATGCATGGCCAATGTTTGCGAAAATATAAAATATCTCCTGAGCACAGCAGGAACACTTGTTATTTCGTCCGAGAGTTTTTATTTTCCGTTTGAAGAAAAAATTGACCTGTCTGTTTGAATATATTTTCTGGATGATAATTCAAGTTCAGGATGAAAGATAATGTACCTAAACGTATACAGTACAGTACAGTACTGTAGTTGTGTTGGTTTATTCATCTTTTTTCAGGACGAAAACTGGTAATGATTTGAACATGAGCTGCAGGATAATTGAAGGCGGGATATCGGGTGTGCTGGTGCTTGAAATAACTATCAACCTTATAACCAGCAGCTGTTCCAGAGTCCATTATCGACATGAGCGCCACGCACGCTGATTATTTGTCTGTCTTCCTCCGTAATTACTTGATTACTGCATATATGTAGACTGCGTAACATCATCGCAGGGCATGTACTGTACTGTACATTTTGGTATTCAAATAAATGCACAAAAGCGGAGCATACATGGTTTATTCGAGAAAAAAAAAAAAAAAAACAACACAGAACGCAAAGAGTGGCGCCTTTTCCCCCATATATCCTCATGCTGATAACACAATCAATATTGATGAGCTTATTCTTGTGATGCAGAGTCACACTTTTCTTCAAGTCCTTTTGTTTTTATTCCTTCTCTTTCTTATTATTTAAAAAAAAAACACCCTCGGGGCAGAATGCGTTCATGTATTGATCTATTACACTCCACTAATACAGTCCTCCTCCTCCTCCTCCTTTTTTTTTTTTCGCGTGCTGTGCAACACCAGGAAATATTTGGCATGTTCCTCTCTTTTTTGTTGCTGTCAACTTCATCAATGCAAAGAAAAGCAGAAAAGAATCCGCGGTACAGCATTTGTGTTTGATTGATTGCAAATTCGAGTGGCGACGACGACGGCGGCAGCAGGAGCATACAGTACATGAACAATAGTATGCTGTGAACTAGACATGCTCTCACGTGGCCGGTCTCTTCGTTGTTGTGTTGTTGTTGTTGTGGTAACAGTGAGAGGCGGCTTTTGCTGGTTGTCCGTCTCCGATGATGAAGCGCGTCTCATCGTCAGGGCAGCTTCTTGCTGGCGGCGAACTGATCGAGGGCGGCTTATCGTCGTCGGTGGCACTGCTGCTGATAATGATGATGCTGGTGGTGGTGGTGGCGGCAGTCGCTTCTTCTCCTTGCTGTTGTCTTCGGCGTCGTTTTCTTGCTTAATGACGTCATCATCATCATCGTCGTCATCACCACATCCTTCCTCATCCTCCTCTTCGTCGTCCTCGTCTTCATCACCAGCAGTATTTTCTCCTCCTCCTCCTCCTTCGTCGTCATCGTCGTCGTCTTCGTCGGCTGCATTACCAGCAGCAGCAGCAGCAGCGATGCCACGTCGAGATGATGAGAACCCGAGGTGGTGAGGATGCATCGCCGCCGCGGGGTGGTGTAGAAGGCGGTGGTTGTAGTGGTGCTGGTTCATGGCGGCGGCGGCGGCGACGACGGGTGTGACCGGGCTGATGCTGCTGCTGCTGCTGCCTGTCGTCGTCGTCGTCATGGTCGCCGGTGGCGGCGGCAGAGGAGGAATAGGTGCTGCATGAGGGCCGAAGGACGCTGCTGCTGCTGCGGCGGCTGCAGCAGCCGCGTAGGACGAGTAGAGGGACGAGTAGGTGAGGTTGGCGTAGGGGTTCATCAAGTGCTGCTGCTGCTGCTGCTGCTGCTGCTGGTCATCGAGGGCAGCAACACCACCACTACTGTTGCTGTTGTTGTTGTTACTGTTGTTACTGTTGCTGGTGGTGTTGTGGTGGTGCAGGAACAGCTGCTGGTGATGCTGGTATAACTGCTGGTGGTGTTGGGACAATGTGCCCACTACTGACGCTGATGATGATGATGACGGATCGTGCTGCTGTAGCAGATCCTGTTGGTGATCATTCTGCTGCTGCTGCACCTGGGCCAAGAGAAGCTGATGGTGCTGCGGTGGACTGCGGCAGTCATCGCCAGTGTCCTGCTGCTGCATCTGCATCTGCTGGTGATGGTGACTCAGCAGGGCGTCCTGCGAGTCTCTGCTCAGGCTCATGAGCATCATGCTGCCTGCGGACGACGACAAATTATAAACAGGACATCCAGTAATGAATTGAGGCAGCAGCACAAATATCCTGCAGCGTGTGTTGGGTTGTCAATAGACAGATAGATAGATAGATAGATAGATGGCAATACCCAGGCGGTGAGCGGAACGGTGTTTCCTACCAGATATGTTGGAGTTCCGGTTCTATTCCTATACCGATCTCTGCGCTCCGCCTGCGAACATTTCATTCTTGGCTTTTAGAGGACATCCGTGTTTAGTTCAAGCATCTTCAAATGGGATATAATAGTTTCTATAATGATAAAATTGTTCAAAGTTGGACGTTGACTTTGGTCAGGTTAGGTTAGTTCAAGTTTGATAAGTTCCTTCTTTTTGTAAACAGTTTTATTGCATGAACTTTTTTCACAAAAAAGAATGCAGAAATTAATGTTGGATGTCCCCAAAAAAAAAGAACAAATGATGAAAGTTTGAAATATCCCGATTGACCGGTGCTGTGTGCTGCAATAAGAGCAGAAATCCATCACACAATCAGATAAGCTGGTATATATGAAACCATTCCGTATACACACCGCAATAATAACAGACGACACAATAAGAAACAATTGCCTGCTGCTGTAACACAGTTGGAAATTCCTGGTATACACAACCGGTTTGCCTTTGCCTAGTCGGATAATGAGGCAAACCAGTGCACCGGTGCTGATGAGGAGGAAGGCTATATAGATAGAGACAGGCAGCAGCCAGAGCTTGGGCTCAGCATCAGGAAGACAATCATTTCTGAGGCCTTTTCTAAGCCAGGGATTTTGGGTCGAGGAATCAAGGATCTTGTGTTCCTGCATCCTTATAATGTACTTATCTTTTCTAGGACATTTTGTGTGTGTGTGCTTTCTGATTTGAATATCCCTTAATTATTCTTGCCCTGTGCTGCATCTGTTCTATGTTCCTTTTTCATGAGTTGTTCTGAGAATATTAAAATAGTGGTTTGAAGGGCCTTCATTAAGGGGTACCTGAACCTGACACTTGAGTGATGTCTTTGAATTTGTTTCCAATGCATTTCTTGAAACATTTCTTGTTATTTACAATTTCACAAAACAGGAGGAAGCAGCATTGGCAACATATTGAAAGTTAAGAACATCCAAGAGTTTGAAATGTTTATTTTTTGCTCACATTCCATCATCCTATATACTGTATACCTATGTTCTAAGATCTATAAAAAAGTTTAAAAATCCAAATAATTTTCACAAAATTTCAATTGTTTTAAATTTAACATTACAGTACTATGTAAAATTATACTGTCAGAGAACACGAGCCTTGGAAAAATATTTTTGAAAGAGAAAGTAAAACGGAATGAATACAAATTGCCAATGAAACCGGGAAAAACTTGCATTTTTCTTCATTGTGAAAATTAATTGTTGTTCAATTTTGAAAATCGCACAACAAGTACAAAATATTATATATAAAAAAGAAAAGGAATTCCCAATTTATAACTCGGTTGACCTTTTTGGAAAAACACTCTGAAATTAAAGTAAAAACTCAGAGTGTAAATGGAGAATTTCTCCCTTTTCATCATGCAGTGTACTGAAAAAATTGTCTTTAAAATATTTAACAAAAAATGCTTGGAGACACAATTCTTTTAATTTGTACAATATTTAAAAAATATTTGTTGCTGCGCTCAACTGGGACAACATACTCGTACACGTACGAGTATGTTGTTGGGAATGGTCAATTTACTACTACAGTACCACTGTTGATGATTCTTCTTTTCTTTTTTTTCAATTGAATCTCACCTGACATGGAGTTGTGCGGGTGTGGCGTAGGAAAGCATTGACGATTGATGAGATTCTGATGGGCTTGTTGTTGCTGGTGTTGGTGTTGCTGGTCCAGCAGGGCAGAATGAGCCTGGAACTGCTGGTGCTGCTGGTGATGATGCAGTGCCGCCAGCAGCTTATTGTGGGTGTTGTTGCTCTCGTTATTGTTGTTGTTGTTGTTTTGTTATTATTATTATTATTATTGCTGCCACCGTCAGGGTTATTAGTGGTCGTTGGGAACAATGCAGCAGCAGCAGAACCCGACGAAGACGAGGACGACGACGTGGAAGACGCCGACCCGAGCTGCTGCTG